TAACTAAATAATAAATTAGATTGCGAGCTTTGTTAAAACATTGCCCTAATGTTGGGACTTTGTTGGAATTCATTATTTATTGCTGAGCTGAAGAGAGAGTATAGTGATGTTATATTGTTCTGATCTTTTGGAGTAAAACGTGTTTGTTACTTGGAGTTTCCACGGCAATTTAATTCAGTAATTTCTTTAATACTACAAAGGCGATAAATAAGTAGTATAACTAAGGGAGTGAAGACATAATATTGAACAAAAGGTAAAGGGCGACATACAGACGGACAGAAGAATTCTCTGACGTTCTAGAATCCTTGTCTCCGGACCGATTAATTTCAGCTCTCTGTGTATATCCTACCGCCTGTATCATGGAGAGTTCTAAAGAACTTTTTGATATGGTGCCACCATCGCGTTTTTACCATCGCAACCTTTTCGTAGATGCTAGGCGTCCCACATATGTATATGCCTCACGTATGTGCCTCACATTTATTTCTACATCTTACAAGGAAGTTAAAGATCGATCTTGTCTAAGTTGTTCCCTGAGCGCTATAATATAGGGTGCTTTAAGAATCTCATCTTCAGGTCTCTTAAAGACAGACAAAGCATAAGCAACTCCCCTTATGTTGCAGATAAGCCAGGATAGCCTCTAACCAACTTTTTTTTTTTTTTTTATAGTTGGGAAATCCTATTACGGATACCACCCGACTTCCCCCGGGGTGGTTATGTGGAGACTCTCCGGCTAATGAGACCGGCATACCCACTAAAACCCAACTTTCCCCCTCTGCCGCCATGTGGGACGCCACGGGATCGCTCTCGCATACAACCGCGACGCCCCGACGGTTGGCCGAAGCCACCAACCATGAGGCCGCCCCAAGCGGGACAACCCCATTATGGGAAGACTTGCAACCCAACAAGTGAGGCCGCTCCTAAGTCCACTCTGCTGATCAGAGAAGTACCCGGAGCAGCCCCACACCACACAAACACCGCCCACCGAAGTGGGCAACCTGCAAAAATAATGAACCCCACCCAAATTGGGCAAACCCCCCAAAGACGCCCGCGAACGAGCCCAAACACAAACGGCTGCAGGAGAAAGGGTGCGACAACGCCGACACTCCCCTTCCCCTGCAGCCCCACCGCGTCCACCATCAACGGTGGTGGCCCCGTTAGGCCGCGGGAGATAGGGACGAGCGGCGCATCGCCATACCGACACTCCTCTTCCCCCGCGGCCCCCCTACCGTCGGCCCACCTCCGGACCAAAATGGCTGCCGACATCCCTCGCCATACGCAGGACCACCGAAATGGCCCCGCTCCAGCCGCCGCACCGACGGGCTAGCCCCGGCAGTGTGGCCCGCGCAGCACCTCCTACCGCAAAACGGCCGGAGACACCGCGCTACCTCCAAGAAGGAGACGGCGCCCTCTAACGCCGCTCCCTCAACCTCCCCTCCTGGCTGTTGGTCCGCGCCGGATTGCTCCGGTACCACAAGCTCCTGTCGGGTCCAAACAGGTGCGAGTGGTGTTCCCCTATCCGCCACCCGGGGACGCGTCCGGTAGCAGTCAGCCTCTGCCCCGGAAGCCTCTAACCAACTGGTGGATCCCGTTTAACCCTATTCATCGAAAAAAAACCAAAAAAGTTTTATGTAAAAAAGGGATGTCCTTGAAATGTCAATGCTATTATGTGTAATACTTATAAAAATACTAGCAGAACCCGCGGCTTCGCTCTCGCTAAAACTACAAAAAAATCTCTAAAAAGGTAGTTTCATACAAACTTTCATCCCGTATTTTACCGCCTTATAGTATGAATTGCTAAAAATGCTAAAACACGTATTTATTTAATTTTATTGAAGAGCATTAATATCAAATTTCAAGTTATTCTGATCATAAATATTTTTTCGGATTGTGTTATAACGTGTTTTCCCGTGGGAATTATATAATCTCCCGCGGTAATAAGTAGCCTATGTCACTCTCCAGCTCTCCAACTATCTCCACTCAAAAAAATCACGCCAATCTGTCACTCCGTTTCGATGTGAAAGAAGGACAAACAAACAAACAAACAAACAAACAAACAAACAAACACACTTTCACATTTATAATATTAGTATGGATTTCTTCTCTGATTTAATTAATAGTACTGACTGACATTTTGTTTTTTTTTGTATATTTCAGTATTTACTTTTGACCAACTTATAAAAACTTACAAAAACTTTATGGCTAACTTATGAAACCTTTCACATCGTATATATATAATATGTATATCAACCTACGTATTAAAATCAAATTAGGTCAAACTAGTAGAGACTAAAACAATTTTGTTAAGTACATTTGTTGATAAAATAAATATAAAACCGTGGAACAATCGCATCTGCACCAATAAATATTTTATTATTTCAACTGGGTCAATTGTAGTTTGTGTCAAGTTCGCGTGTGAGATTCATTAAAAACTTACTAAAATATACAAAAATGAATCTGTATTACAAAACTAAAGGTACCAATTCAGTATAATGTAGCATTTATATGTCTTGCAATGTTTACTGCACCGGATATCAGAAGTTTCTATATATACACAAAATCCTGGTAGTAATACATACATATATCATTTATTTAGTATCAATGACACATCTCTTTCTTGTTGAAATACCTATAGTATTATATATATTTTTACACTATACTCACTACATAAACTCCGCCTCTTTCTTAAACTTAACGATATATTAATACCCAGCAAAGGATTATTGGATATATGATATCATGGATATGCATGGATCATCTACAATAATTTATAATACATTTAATAACTATAAATAAGTTTTATCCAGATCAACGATGCATATTAAATATTTATATTTTTGTATTTTAAGATATATATTTTGCCAGCCGATACAAATTAAAGCACAGTAACTTCGAAAATATCTGATTAGGTATCTATAGTATATGTAAACTACCAATCTGTATGTTTTACTTTTTAGTGTTAATTTTTTGAAGTCGTTTTTTTTAATAAGAACTCTGTTTTAATCTGTTGCTCGATAAAAAGACTTTATGTTGTACAGATCTCAATTAAGAACAAATTTAGCTTCATTACAATCAGTCAAATAGATCTAAAATAACTTGAACTCTAAACAAAACGGATGTATCAGTATTACATCTGATTGGAATAAGCAGAAAGATGATAACTAAATAATATAACAATATACCTAATTTCTGTTCAACAAATAATAGTGGAATGCAGCTATTAATATCACCGATCGATACAAATACATATTCACCCTGCCTTATAAATACATATTCACCCTGCCTTCCTTCACACACTAAACGGTTTCCAATTTTCAGTTTTGCTAACTATAGAAATTGGGCTTTCAACATCATGAACAAATCATAGACTTGGGCTTGTAGCTAAAACATTTCTCCTTTAACTAAAAATCGCGGTAAAGTTGATTAAACTTCAAACAAATTAAAAAATTTATAAACCCACTACGCAAATTAATTATCATTCCACTGGCACGCGTGAAGCACTTAATCGAGTAATCATACGCAAAAATGCCTTACATTATTTTACAAAATAGCTGATACTCTTACACTGCTGGATCGATATTAACCAAACATAGGTAAGAACCACCGCAAGGAAACTGGCTTTCAAATGAAAAGAACCGCATCGAAATCGGTCTATCCGTTTGAGAGCTACGATGCCACAGACAGATATACACACACAGACAGACATCGACGTCAAACTTATTACATCCCTCTTTTTACGTCGGGGGTTAAAAAACTGTTAATCGTTAGGAGCAAGAAATGTATTTTGTACACCTGTACCAAAGCGAAAACGAAAAAGTAAGACTTTCACCAACGTCACCTAAGTTTAAGGGATCCCCTAAGCATGGTTAGGGGGCTGTTAAGGGACAGTTTCTGTTTCACCGACAGTTAGAGGTCACCTGAATGTTAAAATGCCACCTAAATATAGGTACTAGAAATACGGGCTCTGACGATGGTAAAACGAAAGGGGGCAAGTTTAGGGGGACCTTTAAGCTAGGGATACGTAGGTGGTAGCTTATGGGATGTTGGTGAAATCGGGCATTAGGCTGTCTATTTACTTATAGGTATGGTTCACGAATTCTATAGTCCCATAAAATATACATAATTATACTTTTAACTGATAGACTTTCTTCTGCCTTTGAGGGTGAGGGGTGTGGAGAGATTCAAGAAAAACAACCGCTCTAGATAACGCTTCGATTTATTCTACTTTAAGACTTTCAATAATACATTATAAACTAAATAACCAAATATGTAATAATCTACGATATGTATACTAAATACCCCACTTCACCTTTTTAATTTAGGTGATGGCCCCCCTCGTATTTTACTTCCAAACAAACCAGCAAAACTGAGTACTAAACTAACTATATAAAACGAAGTTGCAAATAACTTGTGCATATCACACGAGTCTTTATTTGAATGAATGTGCATTTATAGTGACATCTCATTTTTCCAAGAGCTGTTTTGTCACTCATTATTGCGAGGTGCCTTACATAGCAGACCCGCTTCAAAGGTTTAAAATACTGTTTTTAACTTTTTACATTTTATCCAACACGTACCTAACCTTTCTCTTTTCAGTATTTTATGAATTACTAGCAGAACCCGCGGTTACGCCCGCGTTCAATCTACAAACAAAAACTCTTATGCTTTATGTTATATCACGGTAATATTACATATACATTACCGTGGTTATATAGCGTGTCACCCTCGCTTCGTCCCTATGTATTTATATAATATTAAATTATATAAATTTAAATTGGATATTTTAGATACAAAAATACAAATTCGCGATTAAAAAATGGGGGTGGGGGTAGGAGGGTGAAAAATACTTTACTACCTATTCTCATACCTACCAAATATACAATTTATTTAAATTAAAATCGGTCGAGCCGTTTCGGAGAGTGTGACCACAAACACGAGATATTTATATATTACATAGATTATTCTATAAATCAGATAATAAAAAGATTACTGGCAGCGGATGGATGCAGACTACCAAAGTCTTGGGTAATTGGTACTCTATAAAAACAAATTGAAAAATAATAAAAGTAAGAAATAAAAGATAATATGGAAGAAATGTAAGAACGATGAAATGAAGCCAAGCAAGACGAAGCTGTTGTTAGTTCTTCAAGTGGCTAAGGCACAGAGGTTGAGACCAATGTCTTTTTTGTAATTCGTCTATTTTATTCTTTTAAAGGTACAATAAACTTCTTTAGAACTTGAAATAATTATTATGATTGAACAATACTTTGTTAAGTCTTGGTGAATAAACATATAAGTATGATCATTCTGAAACTCATCTCTCGTTTTTTTTACTTCATCTAACGTAGTATTTAATTACTTCAGATTGCGAAAAATATTTACAAAATATAAAAAAAAATTGAGATATTTTCAGAAGAATGACAGATAATAAAAAAATGATAAGAATATTAGATAATCGTCGTATCATATTCAACCCTTTTTAACGTACCACTGATGGGCACGGGCCTCCCAATACGAGGGGATCAGGCCGTAGTCGACCACGCTGGCCAAGTGGGGGTTGGCGGACTTCACATGTCTTTCGAAAACTTGCTAGGTGCTCTCAGACATGCAGGTTTCCTCACGATGTTTTACTTCACCGAAAGACAAGTGGTAATCATATTGGAAATTATTCGCACATGAAAATATCAGAGGTGCGAGACCCGGGATTTGAACCCGCATCACTCGGTTTCCCAAGCGATCGCGTTACCACTGGGCTACCACTGCCTTATTAGATAATCATTCTCTTAAAAAAATAAATACATATAAGTAACATTTTTACAAAACAATAGCGATCGCGAAATGTGTTTCATGACACAACTGTTATTTATATTTTCGGCGTTCATAAAGGGGAAAATAAAATGTACATTCTAAAATCGTACAAATAAAATTCATGAATCCAATAAATGGATATCGAAATAGCAGAATTGAATGAACTTGTAAAATAAACTAAATAGATAGAAACGGAAAATAACATTTAGGCATGTTATGAATATTTTAACAATTGAAAATAGGTTATTTTGGACAGAAGACAATTATAGAAATTGTATTCTGACCAAAGTAGTTTTTTATGTAACATAAAAGTTCATTTAGAATAAGTTTTATAAAGAGGGCTGTTTTGACATAAAATATTCTCGATATTGGAAGTTGTAAGTTTTCCGTAATATGAGGGAAAGCGACATTTGATACGAGAGCGGAGGCAATTGTAAAACGGTTTGCGGTCCTGCAATATTCTAGTAAAGGCGCGTCTAGGATATAAAAGCTTTTTTGTATTGAAATGTTATATTTTGAAATTATTTATTAGTAGTGTCACGTAAAACGGCGGTTTCAACCCATATTGAAGTGTGAAATCATTATGATATTAGTTCTATAATCCATATTTCATAATCCATGTTTTTGAAGTTACACTTCTTTTGGGACGTTTGGAAAAAATTATAAGAGTAAAATTATTACGATGCGCGCTTTTTATTTTTATTTTTACGATGAGCAAGTTAGCTGAAAGCGACATGATGTAGTTAGCTGCACTCCTTTTAAAAAACAGTCAGTTGTGACATACGGGATGAAATCTTTAGCTATTTTTGTTCTGTTACGCCAAAGAAGTATAACTTCTTACGTACGTACATACGTACACACACACGTTTTTATTTATTTATTAATAACAAGGGAAATGGGTCATGATTTTTTTCTATAGACATTTGTATATGGGTCCGACGTACACATCTCTATGCAAACCCTCGGGACTGTGGAGCACCATTTAAAAATTTTGGAAAACTTGTTTTATTAAAAACAGCACAAAATAAAAAAATACCTTTACATATTATTTGCTTAAAATAAATATTAGTTTTATTTGTTTATTTTCTAAGTTGTAACTACCAGAGTAGCGTGTATGTATGTTAATATATAAATAAAAAACACGTTGCTTTACGTTAATAAATAACAGTTCATTGCCTTTTAATTTACAATTTGACTGTAATTCCATAGAAATATTTACGTACATTATATTTCATTTCTATTTTTGGCTAACTAAAAGAAAAAATAGATTCCAAATTTGCCTATATTCTTTTAATGTAATAACGAAACGAGAGAATTGCCATTTCGAAAAAAAAACAATTTGAAGGCTTTAATAAAATGATAATTTATATAAAATTTGTAAAAACATATACAAGAGAATATGTATTCAGCCCTTTTTAACGTCCCACTGCTGGGCACGGGCCTTCCTTTAATACGAGAGGGATCAGGCCATAGTCCACCACACTGGCCAAGTGCGGGTTAGCGGACTTCACATATCTTTCGAAAACTTGCTAAGTTCCCTCAGACATGCAGGTTTCCTCACGATGTTTTCCTTCACCGTAAGGCAAGTGGTAATCATGCTACAAATGGTTCGCACATGAAAGTATCACAGGTGCGAGACCCGGGATTTGAACCCGCATCACTCGGTTTCCTAAGCGAGCACGTTACCGCTGGGCTACCACTGCCTATAATATACAACAGAATATATTTTCACTAAATCGCTCACAGTGTGACCTAATCTTAGCATATCTAATCGAGTAGGAAGAGCATTCGTTGCTCATTCCGGCCTCGTTTCAAATATCAGGTATCCGTAGATGCAGCCGCAAACCTCTTTTGTATGCAGGTTGCGCCGTAAAACTGCAAATAATTGAACACCATTACCGCTGATGGGATTTCTATCTTGATCTATCATCGTTTTAAAGAAAGTCATGGCAAATAGAACGACATGCGACGTTATCTGCATTCAATTAAATAAAAATGTTAAATTTATAAAGCTTCATATCTAATGCCTTTAAACGAGCAATTGTTGTATATTTATTTATTTATTTATACCGGCTATCTCAAAAACGGCTCTAAAGTATTCGCAGAAATTTGGTATGTGGGGGTTTTCGGGGGCGAAAAATCGATCTAAATTAGTCTTACGTTTGGGAAAATGCGTGTTTTCGAGTTTTCATGCGGTTTTTTTTCGCATTATTCCACTTAAAATATGGTCGCTAATTTTGCACGCTCGGACATAAGCATTCCGGGCATAAGCATTTCGGGCATAAGTAGTCCGGGTTCGAATCCCGGATACAAAGTTTCTACTTTATTTTTGTATTTATTAAAAATTTTAGTTCTTTTTTAAGCCAAATTAAAAAACCAAATTATTTTTGGCCAAAAACTCCAAGCGAAGCTCGGTCGCCCAGGTACTAATAATAAGAAAGACAAACCAACAATATCGCATTCGCAATTATAGTTCATAATTACCGACCTACCTAAATGTTGGGAAATAGATAATCATATCGTACCGAAATAGTTTTGGTCCAATAAAGGAATTCCGCGCGAACTTTTTCTTCGCCGGGATAAAGATCAAGTGCAAGCCAGACGCCGTACCATTTTAAATTCAAATATTATTTAAATAATAATATTCGAAAGATTGAAAGAACACAATAAATTAACTTTAATTTATATGTGTTTTATTTTATAATGTAGCCACATATAAAAAAAAACATTTAAATTGCGCATCGTTAAGGATTTCAATTAAGCTAATTTCATTTCAAATTTAATTAATACAATCAGTTAAATACAGAATAAGTTAATTTAGATTTAAGAGGTCGCCACCCCAAACATAAATAATTTTTATCTTGAAAGCTTATCTAAAGTTGTTTAAAGTTTGATTGTTCAATTTTCTCTCGTGACGCCGATTTGCATAAACGAATGAGTCCATTTTTCATGAATTTATGAATCTATCAATAATCAACACTGTTCGCGATGAACAAAAGAAAGATTTGGATATCTTCTCAAAGATTTATATTTGGATTTTGGTCTGTCTTAACAGAATTACAATGGTTTTTTTTCTTTGTGTAGTGCAAATGTCGTGTGCAAGAAGTAGAATTAGCATAAGGGTTGTGTTAGACTGTTAGATGATGTTTGATTGACATAGTGAGTGACGAAGTTGTATTTGAGTGAGTTCATTGGTATTTGATTGGTATATAGCTCGATGTAATAAATATAATAAAGCGCCTTATGCTAAAGGCAATGAAAGGGAATAAAGGGAAATAAAAGGGTCGACGATAGGAAATCTGGCGTCGACAAACAGATTAATAAAATTCTGAGTCGAATCTGTACATTGAAATATTTTTTGGAAAATCTTATTGAAATAGTCACTATTGTCGATACAGAGGCCGAATCTATAGTTTTTAAAATTTTTGTCTGTCTGTCTGGGAACGCATCACGAGAAAACCACTGGACAGATTTTGATGAAATTTAGTATGGTGGTATATATCCGGGTCAACGTATAGAATACTTTTTACTGCGGGAAAGTGCCTCATCTCTGAGAAATCTATACTAAACGTTAAAATGTAACTAGGGACGAACCCGAGCGGAGCCAGGGTGAGTCTCTAGTTTAATTATCTGTTCAAAAGCTAAAGATAGACTTAGATACCGAAATAATTTCAAGAATTTCTTATCTTAATTTTTTTACTGGCAACTTACCCTCACTCCGCTTATAAATAAATATAAATATTTATTGTAAGTGTACCTTAGAAGAAAAACTTATGCTATTGCAGATTTTCTTGTAGGCCTTTTTAAGGACCTACACTGTTTTGATGTATGTCTTAAGGTATAGCCAGTGTTAACCATGTAAATGTCTAAAGACGACTGAACAGAATCAGTTATGATGTTTTCCGGATGAAATGAAAGATTTTCCTGTAGTAACAGATATCTTAAATGTTACGTAAACACACAATTTAGTTAAAATTGGTCCAGTACTTCTTAAATTAAATGCGCACAGATATACAGACAAAAAGACATAATGACAAACAGACAATTTTTTTAAAACTATTGTTATGGGGTTTACGAGTATATTCTGTCAATCATTGTTTTTAAAAAATATTTCATGTCGGTATAGATTTCGCTAAGTTACGCTTTTATTATATGAAAGTATAAATTTTAACTAAGTACCTATGTATTTATATTATATTGATGACCGTTTGAGAAGAGCAAAATATCACGAAAATTTTGTATAATCTTAATTTAAGGTATGGATACATGGATTTCATACATTTTTTTACCTACCTAGTATAGTATTTTATGATCTGTGCTCGTGCCTACATATATATGCCATCGAGATTATCACTCACATATATTTTATCGCTCACTATTGTATAAAATTGGTTGTTTGATATTTTCAACGAAATAATTGCCTTTGTACTTTCAGTCGCAGGTATTAGAAGATATCTAATTGGTGTTTTATTTATGTAAGGTTATTTATTGATTTACGTAATTCCAGATGATGATTTGGAGACATTGTTGGACGAAGTGGTTCGGGCGAGTAACCGCGGTGTGTCAACATCTAAAAATGTAACCGGAGGACCCAACTGGAGCTTTGGTCAATCATTGTTCTTCTCGTCTACTGTAGTCACCACTATAGGTAAGACAGAGGAGGAGAGAAGAGATTTATATATAAATCCACACATAAAAGCGAAGTCCCCTACGAAATTTTGTCTGTATGTATGCGCTTACCTCGTGAACTACTTAGGAGCTTACCCATTATTTATATATTTACAAGAAAAAAATTACTGTACAAGTAATGTCTGCATGGATGTGACAAGAATGTTAGCTGCATTCCCCCGCTGAATGGCAATGCCGATTCTTTGGATGGCGGAATTGACAGAAAATAGCACTTCTTAAAACTTTAAACCTGTAAGTGCGAGAGATTGCACCATTAATATATTATATTTTGTACATAAACAATAGAAAAATACGTTAACTAATTATAACTTATAAATAATAATATAAGAATGGGTTTCTAATTAATAAGAATGGGAATTTCAAAGCAAATAAACAATTCACAGCACAAAATCCAGTATCTCCAATACTTCTTAATTAAGATTGACGACGGACCTGTCCTCACGGGCATTAGGCACTTGGACGGGGATAGAACGTAAAGGAAAAAATGGCTGATATAAAATTGAATCTGAATCAATTAGTGGCAAAGCGTTGCCGTCGTGTTGCGTGTTGATTTTATTATCTGCCTTTTATGAAGAAGCTAGGAGTTTTATGTAGTAGAGTCCTCTATAATATAATTTGTTTCTTTGTTGTATTTTATTATACTATTTTTTACACGTATCCTTTTAATCTTTAATTTTCCATTAATACTATAAGGATGTAGGAGGTATATTCCGAAAAAAAATGATTCAGAAAATTCTTTGATTAATTTGAGCTGTCTTCAGCCCTTTTTAAAGTCCCACTGCTGGCCACGGGCCTTCCTTCAGTTCGAGGGGGATCAGGCCATAGTCCACCACGCTAACCAAGTGCGGGTTGGCGGGCTTCACATGCCTTTTTAAAACTTGCTAGGTCGTGAGGAAAATTGCACACACATGCAAGTTTCCTCACGATGTTTTCCTTCACCGTTAAGGCAAGTGGCAATCATGTTAAAAATTATTCGCACATGAAAATATCATAGGTGCAAAACCCGGGCTTTGAACCCGCATCACTCGGTTTCCCAGGCGAGCGCGTTACCACTGGGCTACCGCTGCCTATATTTGTGCTAAATTATCTCTGAATTGCATAATATATTTAAATGATTTATTTAATAGATTTTTATTCGGAATAGAAACGGTTTCTAGAATATTAGCGTATTGAATTCAGACCTTTTTAATGTCGCACTTCTTGGCCTCCCTTCAATGCGAGGGGAATCAGGCCATAGTAACCGCACTGGTCAAATACGAGTTGGCGGACTTCACACGTGATTTTAATGTTGAAAATGTTTCGCATATTGTATTAGAAATGCGAAATCCGAGATTAATATTTTTTTAACAAAAATTATTTAATAATTTCCAGGTTACGGTCACGTGACACCATTATCCCAACCAGGCAAGCTGTTCTGCATGGTGTACGCGCTCCTCGGCATTCCCTTAACCCTGGTCCTGCTATCGGCTTTGGTAGAACGTCTATTGCTACCAGCAACTGCTCTTTTAAGATCACTGAATGCTGCATTGGGACATTTGTACCGCCCGTTCACGATTCGTTTAGTACATCTTATGATTATAGGTGAGTTACAAGCATTAAAATACAACTATTTTAGTGTTAGTTTAATATTTTGGTGTTGCCAGCCTCGTGTTAATGAGTTAGAAGTATCTTCTTCATTTACACATAGGTTACATGGTATTTATCGACGTAACTATGAGCGGAAATAAGTGACACGTAATGAAATTTAAGTGTCATATAATGCCTTAGATACCTACGTCTTTCTTCGATACATAATACCAACAAATGAGCGTAAAGCTACACTAACTCCTGGCATTTAGAAACATTAAATATATGACATGTATTTTAGTTTTTATCAACTAAACAATACTGTCTATATATAGCTATATATTATATTGCTGTAAAATTGAATTTGTTATTTACAAAACACTCGTATTTCCAGTAACAATCCTCGTAGTGTTCTTCCTCGTGGTGCCAGCAGCTATTTTTGACGCGATGGAGCCCGATTGGGACTATTTGGATTCCTTCTATTATTGCTTCATATCCCTAACAACTATCGGACTTGGAGATTATATCCCTGGAGATTTTCCGGGACAGCCCTACCGGCCGTTTTATAAAGTCGCTGCTACATGTAAGTATTAATCTGTACATAGTTGATAGTATAAAATAAATTCGCTGTCTACGTTTCTCTGTTTCTCCGCTTACTTCTTCTAAACAACGTAACGGACATTGCTGCGGTTTTCACTAATAGAAAGAGCGAAGAATATTTTGTACAAAATGGTCAGTCATTTTGTACAAAATTTTCTTCGCTCTCGCAACACTGTCTAGTGTCAGACGTAGACGGTGTTTTGGAGAAAAAACTGTTTACGTACTATGGCTAACGCAGGCTAAATCTTTAAAGATACATCAAAATAATATACTAAAAAATTGTAGATCGAGACATATAGAAAGTATGCTATTCTATTTTTGTCTATGTAAAACGTACCTGGACACGAGCGTAGCGAGGGTAACTCGTTAGTAGTCAGTAGATATGTAATATAAATTAATTGCAGTTATAACTTTTAGGATGTCTACACCAAAAATGTGTTTGGCTGACGGATTAATTTAAAATAAGATATTTTGATGTTTAGGTTAAGTAAACCAACCTAAGTGTAAGGTTGTGTAACCTTCACATATTTAATTTAATGAGAATCTAAGTTTTGATGTATTAGAAGTTTGTATGTGCCATAAAGAGTTTTTACCGATACAGTTGAAGTAAATTCAAACTTTGAATGAAAACTCTACGAGGAGAAACTAATTAAAGTTAGAGCCCTTTTTCGTCGGCATGCTTAAGTATATAATGATTAGAAAATCAATTAAAATAGTTTTGTATTGGATAGAAATTAAAATACTTACAAAGTAATTTAAAATATTTACCGATTTAAGCCTCCAATATCTTGTTTTACATTCTATTTGTATCTAATTTTATACAATTAACGTTTCCCTCCGTTTTAGAGCTTCATTTGTAATTTGAAAAGTTTTAACTTTTAACTTTATTTACTTTTTAATAACTGAATGTAAGGCAATTGGCTCTGAACGAAGAGTGTTGCGATTTATCAAAATCGTTCCAATCGTGCCATGGAACTTCCAAAAAATCATGTCATGGAACTTTGTTCATTAACTTAACCTAAAATAATTTTTTTTCCAGTCTACTTAATCGCTGGCCTCACCTTCTTAATGCTCACTCTGACAGTCTTCTACGACATACCCCAATTAAATATAAGTACCGTATTTTCTTCAATGAAACTCGATGAAGATCCGGAAAAGATGCGATTAAGTGGATCAGGAGTTATGGGACCAGGATACGGAATTGGGGGACTGGTGATGAGGGATGACTATCATCATGACCAACGTCGTTCTGTTGTGCACATCAGGCCTCATCTCGATGACAGCCCTAGCCCTGAGGACACTACGCCGGTTCATGCGCGTGATATTCGAGTACATTAAAGAGCTTGTAATGACTGGGCATAACTTATTTGTCCCAACACAGTAGTTTATTTAGAAATACTATGTATGTTCTAGCTTTTATTTTTCGATATTTCACATCAATTAGTTTAAACGTTTGTAAACCTTTCATTTGGGCAGTAGTTTTGTGTCTCGGTGGTAAATAAATGTAATTTATAAATGGATTAGAAATTCTGTGTGTAACTAAGTAGTATTTAAATTTGAAAATTTAAATAAGCAATTATTCACAAAATATATGTGTATTGCTCATCTGTTGAGTTCGTGAACTTTAGTAATTAATATATTATATCTTCATTGATAAACAAAAATCTTATAGGTATATCAATGTTTGTCTTGCATAATATTTACAACAGATAAGATATATTTATTGATGCATTCTATAAAATATTTCTATATACTTAGTTTATTACTTTGTTTTCTTTAAAATTTTCATTACATTATTTTAATATTATCATCACATTTACATCTTACATTAAATGACCAAATATGGTACCAAAAATCAGATAGGTAAAAATAAAAGTGGTTACCTACTTCACTTTTTCACACACTTATTCGCGACCGTCCTTCACATTTTTAAAAATAATTTCTTGTAGCCATTTATAATGCACAGAAAATTTTACTTTCTGTTTAGCAAATCGAACTTAGTTCGTTTAAAAGACTGAGGGAGTTTTTCAAATTTTCTCACTTTTCTATATCAGAGAATAAATTCTAAAAATAAAGAAAAAAAACGAATTTCATAGAATTTTATAAATAACAGACTGAAGAACCTGTCCTTTTGTAGTCTGTACTGTATACGTTTGAAATATCGAAAACTATTCCAATCAGTGGCATATCAAATATTTAGAAATACATTTTATAGACAATTTATCTAGAAATATACCTTCTGTTAAGTTTTGAAAGTATGAGGATACCTTTAAAAACGCTCGTAATTCTCTTCCACATGAGAAAACTAATTTTTTTATTTAAAAATCAAGCAAGTTATGACTTAACCAAATATATCAATGAATTTAATTTTATTTAGTATATTGAATATTAAAATATCATATTTCTTAATATTTATAGTAATATAAAAAAAACATTGAATTATTCAAAAGAAAAACAACACCTAATAATTATGTAGAGTTTGTAGTAGGGCTCGGAAACCCGTTCAATTTTTAAACCGGTTTAAGGTTTCGGTTACATTCTTTAACCAGTTAAATCCGGGAGAACGGTCTTTGACAAATTTAGGTTCCATGAATTAAATTAACCGGTTAAAATGACTTTTTGTGTGTTTACATTTGGCGCGTCTTTGCTAATGATGAATGGCTTAGTAACCTTCTTACTTATGAATGTATTAACCGGTTTATTTCGGTATCAAAACCGAATTACGAATTCTTAGAGAAAGGTAACCTTTCTCTAAGAATAACCGTTAACCATTATCATTTCGGCTTACGAACCCATTCGTTTTCATTAACTAGTTAAAGAACGAGCGATGAATCAACTATTACATTACCGATATAAACCGTTTTTTTAAACCAGTTCCGAGCCCTGGCTTGAAGAGCCTTTAGTCGTTTATATTTTCTATTCTCACGAAATAATTTCTTTTCCTTTTAAATCTTGTTTAAATTGTAATCAATGACAATATATAAAGCTTATGCTCAGATTAAGAAAATCAGAATATATATTTTTATTTTAATACTATTTCTATTTCTCTATTTATGATAAGATTATTATTATGTAATACAAAGAACTATCCATTAAATATGCCTAATGTATTCTGTACGAGTATGTAGCTTTAGTAATTTAGGAAAAAATTTATTCCCTGTTAAATTTTACTAAATTCTTGGCCTCGTTAATAAACTAATAATTTTATGATAATACCTATTCATACATCCTATTTGTTATTTACATTATTCACTTGAATATATCATAATCAAGGAAAACATATTCATTATTATACTTCGTAATAATTTACAGGGAATAATCCTCTACAAAGAATATAGATAATCAAATTATATAAAAAATAATACATAATATAGTGAAACCAGATTTAATCAAATATTTAGCATGTGTTGAATTGGTAGTTCAGTTAAGCGTATTGTGTTATGAAAACAACAGCATAAATCATTATATTGTAGGAGAAATATTACTATTTAAACATAATAGGTGACGAAGAATAGACACTAGTATACAAATGATTATAAATTGAACACATATTGCCTTTAATGGTAAATCGCATAAAATGTGTATTGTATTCGATGCAAATCTGAAATAAAATGATAAAAAAACAAACGTTTTTAATTTCCTCTCTGTTTTATTTACATGGAGTAGTAGAGAATTTCGTTGCTAGTGTATATAGCTGAAGAACCGAAGGTCTTGTGTTCAAGTCCCAGGTAGGACCAAGTTAAGTTAAAGAAAATCAATCCATTGGCGAAAAGATATCGAGATAAAATACTTGCCTATAAAAATACAGACAAAATGAGTAGCACGACCGTATTGAAGTGGGTTAAAAAGACTTCCGAATCATGTGTTATTTCTGATTATATAAATAAATAAATATGTTGGGATATTAACACACAGCACCATTTAGTTCCATGGTAAGCTACGAAGCTTGTGTTATGGATACCAGATAGTTGATACACTACACTATGATAATATTTCAATCTAATTAAACAAAAATAAGTGGCGAAATGTTATTTTGTTTCTCATTTTGCCGATAAATTTATATATAAGTTTCATTAAAAATAATTCTAGTTTATGTTTTCTTAATTTTAATAAAGAAAGAAATTTGCAGATAGTCGATGCTATAATTACCATGTCTGAATAATCTTATCAAAGTTGATTATATTTGCAAAGTCTAACATATCTATAATCTATATATTTAATTTTTTTTGTACTCTAAATCTATAACAGTTTTCTAGTTTTTTTACGGACATATTATGCAGTTTTACTGTGGCAAGGCTGACAACACTGGTCAACAACGACTATGCAAATTGCATACTGCTAAATAAACTATACTCCAAACCTTTAAATTTTAACCATAGATAAGGAAGTGAAGTTAGAAATTAAAGAAAAAGTACTACTGTATAACCTTAAAATTTAAAACCACTTAAATCATACGGTGCTGTACAAAATCATTAAACTGTATTATAACAATATGGTGAATTTAAACTCATATTAATTATTGTATATCTAAACGTATAGCAAATAATCTTTTGAAAGTCGTAATTACTGATTAGAGGTTATGTCCTTATGGTTTGTATTTTCATTATAAACTAAACGTCAAGTGCTCACAATAATGGATACACCAGTCTCTGCTTTTGCTATATACAAGTCTAAAAAGCAACAGAATGAAATAAAGAAAAAACAACGGAGAAATAAAAAAAATAAATCTAATAAACCGGTTTCACCAAAAGCTACTACTCAAGATGTTAGTGAAGATCTTATGAAAGAAATTGGACTGAAACTTAAACAAAAACAGAAGAAGTTAAAAGAATCAAAATATATTACAAAGAGAAAGTCACATAAGAAAAAGAAAACGAAAAATGGTAGCAAAAAAATAAGTGTTTCGCCAAAAATATTAAATGCCAGTAATAAATCCTCCGAAAGTGATGATATTCCGGAACTAATTTCATCTACTTCTAAAACTAAAAATAAAGAACAATTTAAATATGATGATGATAAGACCTCATTACATTCAAGCAATGGCAGCTTTGAATTTACTCCTGTCCAGACTGATAGTACTGAAGAGGGCCTAAAGGTATTTAAATGGATGATAGCACCATTTAGCCCTGAAGATTTCCTAAATCAAATTTGGGAAAAGAAGCCGCTACATATTGCAAGAAAAAAGTCCCATTATTATAATGATATAATTTCAACTCCAGCTATAGATACAATGTTGAGAACAGAAAATATTCAATTTACCAAAAATATTGATATCACTTCATATGTTGATGGTAAAAGAGAAACTCATAATCCAGAAGGCAGAGCACACCCCCATTTGGTATGGGATTTTTACTTAAATGGTTGCAGTATTAGATTATTAAATCCACAAACATACATATCTCGGCTACATTTACTAAATGCAACTCTGCAGGAATTTTTTAACTGTTTTGTTGGGGCTAATGCATACCTTACCCCTCCAGATAGTCAAGGATTTGCACCACATTATGATGATATTGAAGCATTTATATTGCAAGCAGAAGGCAAGAAACATTGGAGAATTTATAAACCTAGAGATGTAAGTGAAGTCTTACCAAGAACTTCTTCAAAGAATTTTTCAGATGATGAAATTGGTGAGCCAATTTTAGAAGTGACTTTAGAAGCTGGTGACATGTTGTATTTCCCTCGAGGATATATACATCAAGGAGTGACTATAGATGGAGAACATTCCTTACATGTTACCGTTAGTATGTATCAAAAGCATGCATGGGCAGATTTATTTGAAAAAATGATTCCTGCTGCATTACAGATTGCCATAAATGAAAATATTGAACTGAGGGAAGGTTTGCCATTTGATATCTATGAAAACTTTGGTCTAGTACACTCAGACTCAAATACACCTCGAAAAACTGAAATTGAAGAGGTTATAAAGGGTCTTTTTGATAAAATTAAAGATTATTTACCAATTGATGAGGCTGTTGATCAAATGAGTAAGAAATTCCAACAAGATGCCTTACCTCCAGTTCTAAATGACTTAGAGAAAGCAGTTACAGTTTATGGAGATACTGATGTTATGGTAGAAAATGGAAGAGTAAGCAATAGAGTAGAAATAAGCTTAGACACAAAGATAAGATTGTTGCGTAAAAATATATTACGGATGGTTTCTGAGGATCGCATAAGAATATATTATTATGCAGAGAACTCCTTAGAATACCATGGAAATGAATTACCATTCTTAGAAATTGAGGAAGACATGGCTCCTGCTATCGAAACATTAATTACTTCATACCCAGAATATGTATCAGTAGAAAACTTAGATGTGCCAAGTGAATCAGAGAAATTACAAATTGCAGATGCTTTATGGAGCCGAGGCCTAATTATGACTGAATATCCTTTAGAAAATATAGATGATGATTAAGACTTGTCTTTTGTGTTTTTTTACCCATTTTCCCTAATTTTTTTTTAGTTCAGGAGAACAGATAATATGGGATAAATAAAAAAAGCAGTCATGAGCACTGCCGATAGAAGTGAAAATTTAAAACTATAAACTTACTTGAACTAACTTATTTGGTCTTAAATTAAAATTTGTAAATTAAAACTGTTAAAATTTTATTCGGTTTTGACATCTATCTACACTCTTGAGTGTTAGCGTGAACAAGTGACAACATGACCATGTTGACAATTTACATGAATTTACACCGCATCTAAACTTGCCCATAGAAGCACAATAATGTCCTACCTAACTACCTACGGTATGGAATCCCTAGCTTAAAAGTTCCCCTAAACTAGCTCCTAAATTAAATTTCGTTTTACCATTGTCCGAGCCTGTATTTCTAGTACCTATATTTAGGTGGCATTTTAACCTTTAGGTGACCCCTAACTGTCGGTGAAACAGAAACTGTCCCCTAACTATGCTTAGGGGATCCCTTAAACTTGGGTGACTGGTGAAATCGGCCATAAGTCTATTTTATTTAAATAGCATGTTGAAATAATGTGTTCATTTTAACATGGATGTATGTATGGGAAATTAAACTCAAAAATGCTGTAAAAAATTTATTATCAAAAAATGTATGAGAAATTGAGCACCCCATTCATTTTTTAAGTTCTATGGTCTACAAGCTTACAAATTACAATAATGAGTTACCTAGGTTCATACAAACTAATGATAAGTAATGGCAGGTTATTTATTATTAACAAGAATGATTTGATTAAGCATTGGATTTTGACAAATCTCATTCTATTTATTTAAAGCTATTTAAAAATATATAGCACTTATATACAATTTTGTCAAGTTTATTTACCCGACTGTGTCAGAAGGGTCAGGTTTTTTGAGTGTATGTATGTATATTTCTTTGACACGCTCTGTAGTCTCAACGGGAAAATGGATTATAATTTGAGAGGTCTCATTAGATTTGTCTTAATTGTGAAAGTGACACTGGGTTTAAAATTATAAAAATTAAAATGGCGAAACGATTTTTGGCGCGATATTATATATCTTAAAAAAAGAATTTTTCCTCGAAACCTATCGAGTTGGGCATCAAAATGAAGGGTTTTATAAATAGTTTACAAAAATATTTACAACTTACACTTTTAAATGTAATTTGGAATGAGAGATGCTAAAAAACAATAAAAAAAATCTTTACAAAAATAAAAAACCCTAGAAATACACACATGCAGCTATTATAAAACATATACATGTATGTCTCCAACTGTATGTTGTTTGTCAACTTGTTTTCATCATTTTAGTTTGCCGTTTATGCAGTCAGGTTTTTTATTTTTGTAAATATTTTTTTATATTAACATTTTATACGATTAAAAGCTCTCCTTTCATTTCTTAGATTTTTGCTTCATGTAGTTTTTATTTGTAAAATATTGTTTTTAATAAACATAATCCAATGCCTGTGGTTGCTTATTCTAAACATACAGTATTTCTATTAGGATCAATATCAGCTACACATTTAAGTAAAATGATAGGTTTTGGCGAGTATGATAAGTTGAAAATATGAATGCTTATATTTAGTTACAAAACAAATATTATTGCCTCATAGTCCCATCACAAATTCCTCATCAAAATAATGTGTAGAAATTTATGTGATTTTTTAGAATTCAATACAATATTAATAGCTATGCTCTTTATCATTGAAATAATCACTCTTTATGACTTAAAACACTGACTAACAAGATTCAGCTGAAATAATTTCTGATTAATATATTAGATTTTTGGTTTCTAACTAAAGCCTTTTTATTAACTTTAAATATCACTTGTTGGCTTTAACTAGCAAAAGTTTCAGATTCTTTTTACTTATGCTTTTTAGTATTTGCTACTTTTACGGTCAGGTTTCCTTTTTGAGAAAAACTGTTTTTCATTATCTTCATCTCCAACAAAATCTATTAATGTTCAACCTTCCCACCTAATAGTAAGAGCAACTGACATGAATAATAGACTACTTAAGTCAAGTATTAGAATGTACTATTATTACAAAAGACCTTGATTTATTAATAGCAATGAAACCTACGGCAATTTTCTATTTTAAAAACAAAATACCTACATCATGTAATAAACAACTATACTCAATGCCAAAACTTTGAAGAGCTGCCTATGAGATTTGTTTACAATAATATGCAACAAATTGCCGAGTTTTAAATTCCAAATCAGTAAAAAATGATATGAAGAACATAGCTATTGTTCTAGTGCTGATAACATAACTAAAACAAATCATGCAGTAACCTCTCTTGCATTACGTTGAGCCTCCATATTAGCTTTGGATGCACATTTATAATGTTTTTTGACTTCATTATTTAATCCTTCACGATTTCTTGCAATTTCTATAGCATAGAACTGAACTCTAGGTACTAGTATTGTATTTTGTTCTGAATAATCACCTTTAGTGTCTGCACGCAATAAAGTTCCAAAACTGTAATCTTCAACAATGTTTTTAAATTTTTCGCAAAACATGCGCCATTTCGCTTTATTAACATTATTCTTTATTTCTTCTTCTTTTATATATGAAATATTTAAATCGGGAAAATCTTGTCTAAAGTGAGTATATATCAGGTCATCGTGTGGAGTTAGCCGGAGCCATCTCGTATCTACAGAACAGAGTACCTATAAACCAAAAACAAAAAAATTGTAAAAACGAATGTGCTACATCAAGTAGAGGTTATTAAAACTGTAACATACATTAAAGTAAATATCGCTGTGCTCCATGGCTCTAGCGGCCCATAAGTGTTCAAGTGTTTCATCGTTACCAAATTCTTCAGCTGGTCTGGTGAGAACGTCCTGAAATACATAAAATTATAGTACCGCATAATATCATTCATTTATGCAAACGTTTTACTATAACTGTATGTACTTGCCATGTTAAATAATACAGTACTAATTTGGTCACGCAAAATTGGTTTCACCGGCTTTTATTTAAATTAATAATACTTAATTACGACTTTATTTTAATTGAACACGATTTTCTACAAAAACTCAAAGGCAGCTGAAAACAACCGTCAAATGAATTACAGATAACGTATAAATATAGAGTAAAATTATAAAATATTATTGGTGTTAAACAGATAAAATATTTGATGTATTATTAGAAAATGAACAACTCTTCATACATACGAAACAAGACTTATGTTATGAATTACTTATAGGATATCCATAGTTCTGTTATGGGGAAGATTTCTCGAAAGGAGGGCGCCATAGGTATTGTCTATTTACATTCAGTCTAAGGTTAAGCAATTTATTGTGATATCTCTTTTATACCTGGTTTTTTGCTTCTATTGTGTTCGAGTCTTACCTATGCAATGTATTGTACCCTACGAATAAATACTTATTATTTATTTGTAGATTGAACCTGGAAACTAGACCAGCTAAAGGAAAAATTGAGAAGGAAAAGTGCATCCTGTGATGGTCCTGACTGACTGATGGATAAACAGTAAACACACAGAAACATGAAATTTAGAGAACATATTCCTTATTTTTATTAAATTTTCGAAATTCATCTCCTAAGTGGGTAAAATAGGGGATTAAAAATTGTATGAAACTCTGTCATTCTTAATGTGAAATACACTAAAAGTGGTGTTTAGTTTTAAGATAAAAAATAAGAAATATATTTATTTGATTTTTCGAAACCCATCCCTTAAAGAGGTAAAAGGCGGTAATAAAGTTTATATGGCCAAATAATTATTTATGAGCAGAATTACTTGAAACTTGGTATTTATGCTCTTCAATACAATTAAATAAATACATGTTTTAGCATTTATCGAAATTCAGTCCCATAAGGAGGTAAAATGGGGGATGAAAGTTTGTATGAAACTCTGTTATTAATATGTGAAATAGTACAAAAAATAAAATATTTACCTGTAGACGATTTAAGAGTTTTAAAATCACCTTCTGCAAAATGATGTCCACATAGCCATAAATATAAAAATTATGATTTCGCTAATTTTGGTCGTCTTAATGCTTTAGCCCACAATTTATTCAGTTTTGTCTTTTTGGAAGAAATGATATTTATTTCCTTTTGCATCTTGGCACTGCACAATTTGTCATTTTAATTAAATTTTAAAAGAAATGAAAAAAATCCATCCACCCTGTAAAGCAGAAGGTGAGGTCTGAGGGCTATAGTTATCGCGACATCTGGCGGGAAAAAGTGGCAAAATTCTTCTCCATTATGACTAGCAGTAAAATGAGTTAAACTATATTATTAATATACTCTTGTACTACAGTTGTTTTAATTTCTATTTTTGATTTATTTATTCTGATAATTAAAACCCACTGACAATGTAAGAAATGAAATAAAAATATTAGAGTTTAATATTTTGATGAACATTAATCTTGCAATTTTGCTTATAATCCCAATATTTTTCAAATTCAAATATCACAATATTTTTTTAAATAACATTTATTGAAGAATTTAAAATAAATAATACTATTTATAATTATCAATCATAATAATATAATGACCAATTTATTAAATAAACTTGAAATAATAATTTTAATTTAATATTAGTTTATGTTGTATCAAAAAAAAAAGCTGACAAAAATAAATTTGGTTTAAGATAAAAATAAATTTTATTTTAAATAGATAAAAATATAAAACATTTTCCAAAATGAATTTTAATTTTCATTCAGTATAATACGTGCAGAAACATCGTGTCCTAAAAAGTAAACGAATTTTTGTTATATTTTTTGTTCATAGAAAGTAATCGTTAAATGAAACAGATATAGTACCAACTTGAGCAGAAAAATGAGACAAAGTATTCTCGGTTTAGTTCGTTCAGAGTTCGTATTAATCTATGATTTCATTGGAGGAGGGAAAAAAGAGGGTGGCGCATGCGCGTTAGGCCGACGCCATCTCTAAACTACTGTGCATAATACTTGTTGAAAGATTTCGATGTCTAAAGTGAATTTCGTGTATGTTAATTCTTGATAAAAAACGTTAATCATGGAATTACTCTGCCGCGAGTGAGGTCAAGTGTTTATGTGCATCGTTTGATGACCGTATTATTCCAATCAGTGCCGACGGCGGGGTCTCGATCTTGCGGAAGTTTCTTAGCTATAGCAACGCATATTTTTTTGCGGCTATCCCTGCCGCGCTCACTACACATCAATTTCATGAGCATTTATCACCGGTTTTGCTAGTGGTAACTTTTAAATGTTATTTTCAGCTTTTTTACATCAGTTATCCTTAAAAGTATCAAACGCGGGCATAGTTACCTCGGCGGCGTTCTTACGCGCGTACGCCTATACATAGACACAACTATTATGTATGAATTATTGTTTTGGGTCAAAGACATCTCAGTGTTCTGAATCAACAACAACAGTGTACAATCTTTTATGTTTCAGCTTTTTCACGGTGAAGAGTGAGTTTTAAGTTGATATGAACTCTGCTTTAAAACCAGTGCTACCCCAGCCAGGGGTGCCCCAGCCTGGCGGTCAGGCGAGTCCCGCCAAGGGAAACGTTGCGAGCGCGAATCACGCTGTAGGACTGCCGCAGGGCGCTCAAAACTCTTTGCATCACGGATCCAATAATCTGGTTGGCCAGAATCTTACACATCACGCCGTAAATATACCTCCACTGCCGTCCCACGCGGTGCCGTCCATGGCTCCCGTGTCTGCCAACATGGCCCAGATGGCACAAAACATGAGCCACCACGGAAACTTGTCACATATAACACAAAATTCGATCACTCCAGCAAATGTTGCCGCTAGCCCTAGTAAAAGTGCAACCACCAGTGCTCCTCTCAGTTTAGTTCAAGACAAAGCATCAACAACCACATCTCAACCTTTAGCATTAACTAGAACACCTGAGAAAAAAGAGCCAGATTCAACAGGCCCAGCCAATGGCACTATTGATTCACCTAAATCAGGATCAAATACACCTGCCACATTAAAACCTCAGAACCCTGAATCAAAACAGGAAAAGCAGGATATTGCTAAAACATCACCTAGCACACCAAAGCCTCCTGAAAAAGTAGCTAGCACTCCTACTACTCCACAAAAGCCTGAAACATCAAATCCTGTCAATCGGGCTGACAGCCCCTCACAGCCTAAAGTAGCTACAGCTAATGAAGTACCAGAAAAATCACCATCAAAACCCACAGAACCTAAGCCAGCACCTGATGCAGATGTAGCACCTACACAAAGTGATAGTAAACCTGTGCCAGAATCTGCTAATGAAAATCAAAATCAAGAAAAACCTTCCCCGCAGAAAGAACCTGAACCAGTCAAACCTGAACCGGTTAAAGAAGAGAAGGAAGAAGTGACAGAAAAACCTGTTCAACCTGAGGAGAAAAAGGAAGAAAAAGAAGAGTCTCCAAAGCTAGAAGAGCAAGAACCACAAACAACAAAAGAAGAATTAAAAGTTGAAGATAAAAAATTAGATGTGAAAACACCAATTAAATCCGAATTAAAAGTAACTCCAAAATCAACATTAAAATTGGCTACAGTGACTCCTCCAATGAGGAAAAGACGGCAGGCTTCAGAGAAAGTGGATGGACCAACTCCTGCAAAGAGGCAACCTGAAGGTGATGCCACACCAGACACAAGAACTAAAAGGAATCGGACAAAGGTAATCATTATTTTTACATATTAAGTGGCTAATTACCATTACTAATTAATAATTATAATCATATATTTTATTAAGTAGTTTGCAATTCTTGATTTTTTATTAAAGTTTTTAATTTTTAATTAAGCTTTGGATTTAAAAGCAAACAATTTAAATAAAACTTAAAATACATGGTAAGTTACATAGTAAAGTTGCAAAGTTTAAAACATATGGAATGTTAGCCCTAAAATATTTGAATAAAAAAAAATTGGTTAATTTTTTCACAGAATTCAACTATCACAATTTACTATAAAAGATTCTTTTATATTTATATCATACTAGCGACTCTCCCTTGCTTCGCTTGGGTTCGTCTCTAGCTTGTTTCCTTATACAAACTTTCATCTCCATTCTCACCCCCTTAAGGGATGATTTTCGGGATAAAAACTATTTCACTCACTTTTCATAATCATAAAATAAAAAAAAAACTTATTTTAGTAAACAAAAATTAAATTTTCTTCTATACATAGCTTGTCCTGACAAATAACAGAAAATAAGAATTATTCAATTCGGTGCAGTGGATCGGAAGTTATGCGCATACATACATTTTTTGATTCATTTTTATTTATATAGATTCTTCCTTTACGGGGAGGTTATTTTCACAAAGAAAAGAACAACTATTAACTAATAGTGTTACTAAAATTATATGATAGTTGCATCTAAATTAAATAAAAATTTTACAAAAAGATACATATTGATGAACTGATAACTGGGTGAAAGGTAGACCTCCTTTTTGAAAGTCAGTTAAAAGGCATTATTTTCCAGTTATAAATGATCACTTTATATGTATAGAGTATACTCGACTTCACATGTAGAATTCAAATTAACAAAACAATTTTCTAATATATTACTTTTAAGTAAATCTAAGTAAGAAGTTAGCTAAATAAATCGCATTTTTTTTTAAATAGATGTGGGATTTGTTTTTATATTATCATGGTAATATGGTAAATAACGTTTATGATTAAAGTTATAAGAGCTATAATTGCATGTAATATCATATTCAGGTATGCTACATGTACCTCGAAAAGCATTTTACCGTATTTACGACGTTGTCCTGACACTTGCTATTGTTGCCATTTTATTTATCCTATAAAAGTTAGTTGGACATAAATGTAAAATAATAGTATTTTATTTATGTCACTTTTTTTTTAACTATATGTTTGTTAAGAACTTATAGTACCACAATGTATGGTGAGGAGTACCTTTCAAAAAATCTAGATAATCGAGTGCTGTTAATGTCGAATATTTTACGGGTTAGATTATTTATTACAATTTGCGCTTATTTTTATATGCTTTGTGTTTTTTCGAAATTACCGTCATTGCATATCAATATAGATACACTAGTAGAACCCGTGTCTTCGCTCGCGCTAAAACTACAAAAAAACTTTAAAATGATTGGTTTCATACAAACTTTCCCCTATTTTACCCTCTTATGGGATGAATTTCGAAGAATGCTAAAGCACGTATTTATTTAATTGTACTGAAGAGCATTAATACAAAGTTTCAAGTAATTCTGATCATAAATATTTTTTGGGTTGTATTATAACGAGTTTTCTCGTAGGAATGAGATAATCTTCCGCAGTAAAGTAAGTAGCCTATGTCACTCCAGCCCTCCAACTATCTCCACAAAAAAAATCACGCGAATCCGTCACTCTGTTTTGACGTGAAAGAAGGACAAACAAATTAACAAACACACTTTCACATTCATAGATATTAGTAAGTATAGATAAAATTGAAGCGTCTGTTTCTGATGTCAAAATAACAGCTTTTTACGAAATGCGTATGAAATTATATACGCTTTTTATAAAAAACACGCAATTTTATAAATTTTTGTCTGTCTCTCTGTTTTTTCCGGCTAATCTCCGAAAATTCCAAAGCAAATCTCCGCTTTAGTAAAAGAATTAGGGTTGCGCTTAAAAAATGAAAACTTACCAAGAGACGCGCCCGAGCGAAGCGAGGGTAAATAGCTAGTTCAGTATAAAAATACAGTTGAGCAAAGAAAATTGAAATGCAACAGCAAATTGATAATGGAAAACCAGAAAAAAATACAATTCAAAGACCCAGTTATTGGATTATATTTTATAAACATTTTATTTATCATTGAACCTGAAGTCGTGTCCAAATTTTGACATGACGTGTTTTTATTATGTTTGTTATGACGTAAACCATATTAGTAGAGGCGTGCTAAGGTTTGAATGTGTATTTATTGAAAATTTCTTTTTTTAACGAGTTTAAATTTCAATTTTCGATTTTTATCTACAGAAAATTATACTTTTCTCATTTCGGAATATAATTTTTATAAAATTGTCAATACAAGTAGTAGTACCTCGTATATTTTTCTTTAACTGTTTCGTATTTTGTTTTCCTTTGTTAAGATTTTTGAAGTCTTGCTCCGGGAATATTAAAATTTTGGTCTTAAGCAAAATGTTAAAATGATATAATTCGTAAAATTATAATAAAAACTAGCGGCTCATCCTCACTTCACTCGGGTTCACCTCTAGAAAAATAAAACAAATCTATCCCTCGGGAACCGTAAATTTTTGCGGGATAAATAGTAGCCTATGTGTTATTCTGATGTATGAGCTATATTATTGTAGTTTCATTAAAATCCATACAGTAGTTTTTGTGTGAAAGAGACAAACTCCATACATCTATATCTATCTATACATCCAGACAACCATACATACTCACAAACTTTACACACACAATTCACATTTACAATATTAGTATAGGATTTTTATGGTTCACTATTTTTCTCAGTTTTCCATACTTTCTCTTCGAACATCGACTTTTTAAATATCTGCTTTTTAGCCTGCGAAGAGAACTTTGGCGCTAAACAAGATCTCAATCAAGTTACCCTCGATAACTTTTTAAAACTAACAATAAACGGTCGAACCATAATAATAGCTACATTTTGTATCGCGCCTTTAAATTATAAGTTAAGAATTTAAAAAACAATTACACTGGTACGCGTGAATCACTTAATCGAGTAATTGTACGCCAAAATGCCTTACAACATTTTGGAAAAGAGCTGATACTCTTACACTACTTGATCGATATTAACCAAACATAGCTAAGAACCACCGCAAGGAAACTGGTTTCCAAATGAAAAAAAAAACCGCATCAAAATCGGTTCATCCGTTTGAGAGCTACGATGCCACAGACAGACACACACACACACACACACACACAGACAGACAGACATCGACGTCAAACATATAACAACCCTCTTTTTGCGTCGGGGGTTAAAAAATAATAAAAGTGAATTTTTGTATATCATTAGTTGTTACTAATTAATATGTATCACTAGCATTGCCCGCGGCTCCGCCCGCGTTCAGGTAACCAAAAACCAAATTCTTAGGTTTTACATATTAGTATAGGTACTCTTACAATGCAGTTTTTGTATTTTTTCTCAGAAATGAGATATTTTCCCGCGGTAAAAAGTATCCTATATGTTGACCCGGATAACCAGCTACCATCATACCTTATTTCATAAAAATCCCTCCAGTGGTTTTTCCGTGATGCGGTAACAGACAGACAGACAAAAACTCTAAAAACTATAGATTCGGCCTGTGTATCGATAATAATGTCTATTTCAATAAGATTTTCCCAGAATATTTAATGTACAGATTCGGCTTAGTTACAATTTTATTATATGTATACATTAATTAACTAATATTTATCGGTTTTATATTATTTTCAGGTACAACTATATCAGTCTCCGACACCGGAAATAGCGATGGCTACTAAGCTGTCGGCCTCAGCGGGACGGTCCACACCGACCAAACAAAATGACGACAAACTGATCGTCTTTTACAAGTATGTAATTCTTTCGTATGACTTCGAAAATATTTGATTAGGTATGTATAGTAAATGAAAACTACCAATCAGTTATTTTTTATTTTTTAGTGCTTTTTTTTGAAGTCGGTTTTTATTTTTTGTTAATTCAGCAAGCAGAATAGGACACTTCGAAAGTAATGATATAGTTTTTTTTTTCTTTTAAAGATGGCGTGAGATTTTCAAGTATACTCCCCTCAGTTTAAATGAGATTTGATGAGATTTTACTGGACCCTCCCCCCATTCTCCATTTTGAATGTAATTAAATCCCCTTAGCAGGATTATTATTATTAATTATTATTTTTGTTCTAAGGAATGAATATCTGGCGGTGCGTAATGCCGAGGGAGGTTTCTACGTGTGCCAAGCTCTACAAAACGTGTATAGAACTACGCGCAAAATCAAAATACGTTGGCTGTCTCAGGATAAGTCTGACTCAACCGGAGAGACATACAAGCCCGACTTTTATGATGTCACAGGTAATTAGTATATATTATACATTAGCGATGTTTTAACAGTTAGTATGGAATAGATAGTCGATCCCTTGCTCTGAAAAACAAAAACAAATCTATCTCACGGGAACCGTACATTTTCCGGGGTGAAATCGAACCTGTACCATGGAACAAGATGGTGCTGTGTGTTAATGTTCCAACATATTTATTTATTATACTAGCATTGCCCGCGGCTCCGCCGGCGTTTAGATGACCAAAAAGCAAATTTTCAAGTTTTACATATTAGTATACTCTTACAATGCAGTTTTTGTATTTTTCTCAGAAATGAGGTACATTCCCGCGGTAAAAAGTATCCTATATGTTGACCCGAATAACCAGCTATCATCAAACCAAATTTCATCAAAATCCCTCCAGTGGTTTTTCCGTGATGCGGTAACAGACATACAGACAGACAGACAGACGGACACAAAAATTCTAAAAACTATAGATTCGGCCTCTGTATGTATAATAATGTCTATTTCAATAAGATTTTCCAAAAAATGTTTAATGTACAGATTAGGCTTCGTTACAATTTTATTATATGTATAGACTAGCAGAAATCGCGGCTACATCCGCGTCCAATCTACAAAAAAAAAAAAAAATTAAATGTGGCACTCGGAGACTGCCGCGGTAAAGCTATTGCATAGCATTTTTTATCAACTTTGCATAAGTTTATATTATAATTATTTATTTATTTTATTAATGCAGTATTTTTTTTCCTTGACTTTCTTCATTAATAAATGCACTTTGTTTATTCATATTTAAAACACTTTGTACACAAATTATACGAGTACAGATATTCACTGTTGTACATACATGATAAATACCTATACACCTATATACTTTCTCACAAACAGCTGATTACGGTAGTTTTCCAATACAACCAATGCCACCTAAAGGCGGGTTGCTGAACTAAAGAGACAAGCGTGATATTTCAAAAAGTCATTAAAAGTTCTGGTATTTATCGATAGATGGAAAAACTAAAAAGTATCACCGCTGTGCCGGTCGGAGTGGGGGGTGTCAGGTTTTTTTCGTTACGGAATTTCTGGATTCGGTCCCCACGCTCAAGGCCCGCGATAGAAGCTATGCAATAGCTTAAAAACTTTGGCTTTATGTTATACAGCGACGCACCCTCGCCTCGCTCGGGTTCGTCACTATGTATTTGTATACGTATATGTTCCGTATTTGTATATGGATATGTGTATATATTTGTATTTGTTCATACAAAAATGCTAACTTCCTGATTAAAAAATGGGGGGTGGCGGTAGGAGGGTGAAAAATACTTTACGCTCTATTGGTGTACCTACCGAATATAAAAAAATATATATTAAAATCGATGGAATCGTTTCGGAGGAGTGCGATCATGAACACTGACACGAGATATTCTTTATTTATTTATACCGGCGATCTCGGAAACGGCTCTAACGATTTTACTGAAATGTGGTACATGGGGGTTTTGGGGGGCGAAAAAATCGATTTTATGTCTGGGAAAACGCGTGTTTCGAGTTTTTATGCAGTTGTCGTTCGCATTATTCCATGCAAATATGGTCGCTAATTTCGCACGCTCGGGCTACATAAGCATCGTGGTCAAGTTTAGATATTTTTTTAAAAGGAAAATTGTACTTTTGTGTTTTGGCCAAAAACTCCGAGCGATGCTCGGTCGTCCAGGTACTTAGAATTATTTATATTGATAACGGGGATTGTGTACAGATATGGAGTGCGTGCTGACGACGCTGTCGCTGGCGCGGGGCGCGGGCGGCGGCGGGGGCGGCGGTGCGCTGCGGCTGCGCGCGGGCGAGCACGCGCGCGCCGCCTCCATCCTGCAGCGCGCGCTGCGCGCCGAGGCGGGCGGCGGCTGCCTGCCGCTCACAGAGGAGCACCCCGACGGACGTGAGTGTTGTTACTACACCATAGGAGCTAGGGCTGCCACATCATATAATTGGATACGAAAATTGTAAAATATGATTATTTTATGTATTAAGTTATTACATATTTTTATTGACATTTTTTGTTCGTCACATACTATTTCTTAACAGTTTTGTATAATAAAATTTGATTTGTTATAATTTGAGTGACCCAGTAGTATAAAATATGTTAAATCTACTGATAGGGACTCATCACGAACAAACCAAAATTAGTTCAAATAAATGTCGATAGATGACGATTTGTTATTAAAGTGGTGTTAAATGTAATATAAAAAAATAGATTCCAAAAAGGTAAATTATCGTTTTAAAAAATATTCATAATGAAGTATAACGAAATAAATCGTCTGTAAATAAAATTTGCGTAATTTTACTGATTATTGAAATTTAAGCAATCAGATGATGGCCTACAAGCCCAATTTAATATTTAATAAATTATAATATTATCGTCTATGTCAATAAGTCTTAACATAATATATACATTCTGATAATATATTATTTAATTCCAGTGGACCTATCGCTATACACGGACGAATCGCAGCTCGACAAGAAGTCGCGTAAACGTAATAGTTCGAAGAGCTCGCGGAGCGCGGACACTAGCGAGACTGCGGTATGACGAACATACATACACACCAAAAAACACTCGTATACACACACATTACCTTGCCAACCCACAGGTGGACGTATTATAGACTTTTTAGGCTGCAGACCGGGCCCCCTAATATATAACGGGCCTCTAGTTGAAAACTAATAATATTGTGAATTTAATAATTTAACGATACGTTTGGCTCAGTTTGTAGTGACCCTACTTTCTGTGCCAGCGGTCGCGGGTTAAAGTCCCGCTGGGGTCATTCATTTGTGTGATGAACACGAATGTTTGCACTCCAGTCATGGCTGTTTTTATTTATAATATGTATGTATTTAAAGTTATATATGTATAGTGTATCAACTAACTGGTATCCATATCAGAAGCTTCGTAGCTTACCATGGAACTAGATTGTGCTGTGTGTTAATGTCCCAACATATTTATTTATTTAATAATCTATACAATTAATCTTTATATTTAATAATATGTATTAATCAATCTAAAATTATTTTTAGATATTACATTAACCACAGTTAAAGACTTAGACAAATTGAGAATGGTTTTATTGATGAACATTGTAAAGTCGATTCAGGTTAAAAAGTAAAAATGTCCATGTTTTATTGCATTGAAGTACTTAGACATATTACTGCATGAAGGCGTATTAAACTTCAAAATGTTCATAATTGTAAAATTTGTTTCTTTTTTAAAATACGCGATCTTATATACGGGGTCAATATTTTCATGGACTGTAATACATACATACATATATATTGCTATGTCTATCGACTCTATACTAATATTATAAAGAGGTAAAGTTTGTGATTTAGATGTAATTTGGTAAGAAGATAGTTTGAGTCCCGGGAAAGGACATAGGATACTTTTTATCCCGGAAATCATCCCTTAAGGAGGTGAAATGGGGATGAAAGTTTGTATGGGGAATCAAGCTAGGGACGAACCAGAGCGAAGCGAGAGGTGCCGCTAGTTATATTATAAACGAAAGAAAACATTCCCAACACAGGCAATATTATAAAATAGCATATATAACAAATGAAACATTCCACAGAAAGAAGAGGTGACGCCTATCAAAAAAACGCGGACACCAAAGCGCAGTCCGAAAAGCGTAACCAAACCAAAAGCCAAGCGGCAAGGTAGTACGCCCACTGTGGCGCCCTCTAGCAAGGTAGGCATAGTACGACGGATATATAGAAATGTACGTATCCGCTGCCATCTACTTAACACGTGAGCTTGGTGTGGACGAGTGCTGTGTGCCGCCGACTGACAGACGGACGGACGGACAGACGAACAAATAAATACATTCAGATGAATAATTTGGCTGACGGGCAGATCAACAGATAGACATACATAGGGATGAACGGACAGACAGACATACAGATGGATAGTTCGCTAACTGACAGACCAATAGACAGACAGACAGATACATAGGGACGAACGGACAGACAGACGAATAGACATGTTCAAACAGAGAGAAATACAGACATAGTCCTGATGACGGACATACATACATATAGAAATAGGGGCATAGGGACGACAGGGCGACTGCTGGACGGACAAACAAACAAATAGACTCAAAAGACAGATCAGGCAGAAATAGACACAGACAGACACTACTAAATATGCATGTTTTATTGTGAATGTAGACTGAAAGTTGACATTATTATTACTAAGTAACTGTTAAGTAAAAAGTATATAAAAGCCCTAAAAGTAATATTTAATTTAATGTCTCCGATACTTAATGCCCAATCTGTATTTATTTGGTGTTAAAAAAAAAAACAAAATAAAAAACAACTAAACACACTGACACAAGGAATGAATGTGATTTGAAAGTATATGATTGGCCTTTATTTAAACGCATGTTATTGTATGGATGTTTGATTTATTTTACAATTATTTTCTTTATTTTTGCCCCAAAATATATCAACATAAGTGACTATATGAAAAAATATATTTTAATTCATCATTCATGACACCCAATTTATTTTTTATAACTCAAAAGCTATTGACTCATTTTAAAGTCCAGTTCAAGAAAAGCATGAATTGTTTTCTGAGAGTTAGTTAGTGAATGTGATGTGAGAATACTTATATATGCATGCTTATAGTACGAATGTAATGGATTGCAAGTTGATTGGGTCAAGGTACAATTTATTTTCTTATTATTCCATGAACCATCGCATATCATTCCCATTATGATCATACACCGCGATTTATGATAACAGCTGTGGGCAAAATTACATAGAATAGGGCAGCGGTTCCCAAATTTTTTGGTCACGGAACCCTAATTGATCATATTTTTTTTATTTCTCCATTTTGATAATAACTACACAGAATACTTGTTTGACTTGAAAAAATAAATAATAAAAATAAACTAAGGTTCCTCGGACCACCATTTGGGAACCGTATAGGGCATATTAAGATACAAAAATAAACTATTTATTAAGATCATATTTATTTCCTTTTTGAATTATTGACATAACAGATAATAAATATAACGAAATTATATCATCCATTTTCATCTATCACGCTTGCTTTTTGTGTTTTAAAAAAAATATTTTTTTTATTGGTGATTTGCGATTTCTTATATATTTTTTATTCATTTACGCATGTAACTATTGCATGCCAAATAAAATCGTTCCGATAGAAACATATAAAATATATATAATTTGAAAATATATATCCAAAATGATTTGATAAATTAAGTGTTGCTTTAAAGTATGATTAAACTATGTGTTTCTATTTTATGTTTAAAATATGCACTTGACATTGTAAAATGTGCTGGTTTTTTTAAGTTGATAATCTTTCAAATAAAAAACTATTGAGAATTCAACTTAAAAAAAAATACACATTGAATGTACAGTATATAAATTCTAAACATATTTAATTATAAATTAAAAAATATATCACATACAGCCAATTAATTAGTTATCCATGGCCTTGCTCTAATACTATGTACATACAATCTATAATAAAAAAAATTGAGAACGAATTGAGAACCTCCTTTTTGAAGAAGTTTGTTGAAAAAAAAAACAAATGAAACTCATTCAAACAAACGAAAACCAATACATATTACATATCAAGTATATATATATATATATATAAAAAAAGAATCAAGTATATATAAAAAAAGAAAAAAAAATATTAGAGGCAAATTACTGAACTAACACTACTTTCAGACCGCAACGGCACTAACGGAAAAGGCTAAGGCGAAAACGCCCGGGAAGCGAACCCCCGTCAAGCCTACAAAAGTTGAAACACCAGTGACTACTCCCAGAAAGGGACGGCGTACTGCGAAAGGTAATAAATCCATACTTTACTACATAATATAAAACAAAGTCGCTTTCTGCTGTCTGTCTGTCCCTATGCTTAGATCTTTAAAACTACGCAACGGATTTTGATGCGGATTTGTTTTAATAGATAGAGTGATTCAAGACGAAGGTTTATATGTATAATTCATATGTACATTAGTACAGAAAAGCCGAGCAATTTAAAGATTTGTATTTCATACTAACTATTAAAATGTACCTAGGGTCGAATCTGATCGAAGCGAGGGTGAGTCGCTAGGAATATTATAAATATAAAAGTTTGGTGTAGAGATAGTTGGAGGGCTAGAGAGTGACATAGGCTACTTATTACCGCGGGATGATTATCTCATTCCCACGGGAAAACACGTTATAATGTCATCAACCCACAACAACTCATCATACCTATGTATATATAATATACTAGCGACATCCCTAGTTGCTTTTTATCGTTCCCAGATAGACAGACAAAAAAATTCTAAAACCTACAGATTCACCCTCTGTATCGATATAATTTCGATACGATTCGAGAATCGAGACAATTTCGATAAGATTTTTCAAAAATATGTCATGTACAAATTCGACTCGGAATTCTATTATATTTGATTTCTAAAAAAATCACAGATTTATTACTTTTGATCTATATAACAATATCCTATATTAACACCATAAAACTTGTCCATTCCAGAAAACAAACCATCACCAATGGTGCCCACGCCGTCCACATCTACCGGCAAAACCAGTCGCACTCGCCGCCCTATAAAGAAATAACACAACACACCATTCTCGGACAGAGAGCCTGTATATAGCTAGCACACAGGTCACACTATACCTTATTCCCATAGTTTAATATCTAAATTATGATTTTGTTGACCGACTTCAAAAATGGAGGGTTCATGTTTGTTGGTTTGTTTTTTTATGGCTATGTCGTAGACTAAAGAATTATATAGTACTAAAATAAATGTCAAAAAAATAAGGGAAATTTTGTGGCAATAAAAATTGAATAATAATAGTATATTCTTTTATATTTTTTAACCATTATTTCTCTTCCCCTTGAAAGAGAGATGGCATAATATTAGCTTCTTTTTTCTGTTTAAGTCTGATAAGTAAATATTTTTTTATAAACATATATTTACTTGTATATAAATCACTAAGTATACAAATGGTCTCAGTTTGTAGTGACACTGCTTGCTGTGCCAGCGGTCGCGGGTTTGAGTCTGGGGGCATTCATTTGTGTGGTGAGCGCGAATGTTTGTACTCCAGTCATGGGTTTATATTTATAATATGTAAGTATTTAAAGTTATATATGTGTAGTGTATCAACTATATGGTATCCATAACACAGGCAACCATGAACTAGATGGTGCTGTGTGTTAATGTCCCAATATCTATTTATTTATTTTAAAATGTTATTTTTGGCTTCATATTTAGTTCTATTGCACTCTGTCTATATTATTCCTTAGTCTATGGGCTATGCCTAAAAAGTACACCCTAATGGTGATAGATAGATTTGAAAGTAGTTTTGAAGTCGGTATACATGTTTAGTTAAAACATAAATTTAGTTCATCTAATTTTTGATTAATTCAATTTCAGAATTCAATGTAATGATTCATTTTTTTTTAACCTGTCAATGACTGCCGAGCCACAGGTGGCTCGGTTAATAATTAATTTCTTAGAAATTAACCGTCTTAAATATATGAGAATCGAATTTGTAATGTTCTGTTTTTATATAAATGATTTTTTTCTCAATTACACTATGGGATTGAGGTAATATTAATTTGTATGAGGGTCTCTACACACTTGAATATTTGAGTTTTTTTATTGTCATTTTGCTGTTTTATTAATTTTTTTCGGAAAAGAAAGATTAACTAACTATGTAATAGCGCAAAGTTATACCCAAGTGTGTAAGACCCTCAGTTTATTGTGATCGTTGTATAGATATCGATAGTTCATAGTTCTATTTTTGTTAGAAAAATGAACTTTTGAAAGTTTGTTGAATAAATTATATTCTAACGTTACATTGACTAGTATTGATACACCAAACAAACAATTCGTCAATACATTTTTTCACGTGAAATGTCTGTAAGGCCACATATTATAAGATTTTTCAAAGCAACTGAGCCACTAAAGAAGAAAAAAGGAAAAAACATTTTTTCTGTCAGAAAGAGTCTGATACCTGTTGGAAGGCACTCTGCATATATGTATTGGTCTAAACCCCGCATACTATAAAAATTTAGACGTGTTTGATGTCCACTTCTGATGAGTCTTGGATGCAATCAAACGGGTACCATGTCAGAAAAGTGGACCGTAACCATTCTTATTGTCTAAAAAATGATAGTATATGATATTCTTTCCGTTGCTATCTTCAAAAATTACAATTTTTACCAATTTATTTTAAATAAGCAAAATATTTATAACCAGGGGCTCAATATTTATAACTATAATCACTGTGATTTTACAATGTGTTTATAAAATTTCTACTGACCAATCGATTCAAATAAAAACAGTTGTAATTTGGACAAAATTTAAAGGAAATAATAACCTGGAATGTGTATAAAAAATATAAATATTCAACATGTCGGCCTCAGCTCGTGTTGTAGATAGACGTTTCACGTAAAACCAACAGCAGTGTGCCTCGATAGAACCCCATTTTTTTTCATTTGTGTGTCAACATTTTTAAATTTACAAATAATATTTTTTTTTCTTTCACAAGCTCTCTGTTCGATGATATATTTATTGTTATACTGGCGATGTGGGTTCATTTTACAATCTATATACATATAAAGTTGTCTGTACGTTGGTTTTATGGGCAAAAGACAACATTTCGAAGTTTGTTTTTAGAAATATTATTTTCAAAACTAGAATATATTCAATATGTAACCATTTTTATGAATATTTTTGAAATGTTGTCTCATTGTTTTATTTAAGTTGTGATTTGTTTGTGGCAAAAGTAAAGTACGTAGATTAATAAGTCTTGGTTATACCAAAATGTTTCTAGCTTAGATTTAAAAAAATAAATAAAAAACCCGTTTTATTTTCAATTTTATTATAATATGATAATTTAATAACAATTTTTGCTATAGAATAGTGGAAAATTTGTTATTATTATGCTTACGTTACATTTTGGAATGACCAAGTCAAGCACAAGATTGTACGTTTCAATAAATTAATTATAATTTCTTTTTTGTTATGGGTTTTGCATAAATATTTTACACGATTATGGTCTAAATACAGACCATGGGTCAGTTTCGAGAGCAATATATAAGTGCAGAACACCAAATTATAAAGATGTCCAATATAAATGTTAAAACATCGAAACTTGAAATGAGGATACGACATCACAAATTAATAATAATTTACGTACGTATATGTGAAATAAACTCGGTTTATGCTTATTTTTTCTAACAGATTATTAACAGTCAATGTAAATACTTAAAAATTAACAAAAAATATCATATTATAGTTATAACTGGTGGAAGGAGAGACTCTATTTGTTTGCGTTCAATCAGAAGTGAAGGAATGGGGTCGCTCCTTGGTCCAGAATAAGAAGTTATATTTGTGGGGTGTTTTGCCTCTAGTTAAGCAATAGGTGAATAAGTTTGATTTTTTGTATAAGATAAAACTTTTCTAAAATATTCAATTTTAATGCGAAGAATTGTATATTAGTACAAAAGCATCTAAATTGTTTAAATATAGAAACTTAAGGATATTATTTTGATACTTTATTTTTAATTAGTATATTGAAAAACGCTACGGGAATGAACTCAAAATCTGGACCAATCATTCTAGTACACATTTGTATGTCAAATGCGTCACTGCCTATTGTAAAATACACGGAATTAGAACATAATATGGATACGGCGTTTTGAATACAGTTTGTTTGGAGGCATATCAAAAGTTTCGATTTAAATTTGCAATGTAAATAGATATTTAACGTTATTAAGCAATTTTATTTAACGAAATTTTTAAAGAGCTATGTTAGTATCGTAGAATTAGTATATTTTATTAAGCAAACACGAAAAATCAATCGAATATATTACACTAAACTCATCCATATACAAAATGTTGTTCGAAATTTTTGATATTCCTTCTGTAAGTATATTGATTTGTATGGATAACGTACGATTCAGTCGAGTTATCTCGATTCTACGCACATTTTGTTATTTCACTAGTGTTGTATGGTTGTTTACTTTGTTGAAACCACCATCTTGGGTTGTTCACATGGGGCTTATAACCGTTGTATGGGAGTGTGTGTGTGCAAATCTTAGGCAAACTAAGTACCTAAATTTAGATGGTATTTTAGGTTAATTTCTAAAGAAATAAGCTTAGTTTAAATTATTGTGTGCATTTTCTGTTTATGACGAATGTTGACTGGTCCTCTGGTACAATAGCGTACATTAGCGTTTTATACAAAATATCATTCGAGACTACTATTGTAACAGAAAGTCCACAAATTTATATGCAATTCAGAAATAAATATAAATAATATAAGGACATATGGCTGTTTTTATTTACCTCTCATCTCAGTTTCAAGTGCATAATAAAATGGGAACAAGTTTATAGTGTGAATATACTAGAAAATATCGAGATATTAACACATTTTTAGATATTACACGATTTCAGAGTTCTGTAATTTGGAATTTAACTATTTTTCTCAAAAAAGTATGGGGTTTTTTACTTTTTGAATAAGGTTTTTTAGCATTGTTTTAGTTAAATCATTTTTTTTAAATGTTTTTTTATTTTAAACGTTTGAGCTTTCAGCCATGCTTGATAGTTTTTACTACACATTATGTAGGAAATGAACTCCCATATATATTGTTTTACTGTAGCATTATAATTTATTGTTCCCACATAGTCTCTAATTCAAGGTGGGTATTCGATATACTAAATTTTGTATTTACATAAAATAGGACTCACACGCATGATTGATAGATTACTATTTTGTAGACCGGCATGGGCCCAATTCTTGCAATGTTATTAACAATTTTATGAAGCTAATATGAAATCTATACATAAAATAAAATTTTAAGTGAGGCGAATCTGTACATACATTAAATATATTTTTTTAATTTTATTGAAATATCGATACACAAGACTATATGATGTATAGTATTTACAATTTTTGTCCGTCTGTCTGGACTGAAATTGATATGGTATGATAGCTGGTTATCTGGATAAACTTATAGGATACTTTTTCTGAGGGAAAATATCTCATCTATGAGAAATCTATATGTAGGTACTAAAACGTTAAATCATAAATAGGGACGAACCCGCGGAGCGGAGCGAAGGGGAATCGCTAGTATTTGCATAAAGCTCCATTTCACTGAACGATCTATTTATTGTTTCCATTTGAGACAACGTATGGGAGTTATACTAGATTGGACAATTTACCAGTTACATATTTGTGTGGATGATAGCGTATTTGTGATTTGAAGCACACGAGCTATGAAATCAATTAATCTGTGAAAGTTTGTGAGGATGGATGTTTGTTACTCTTTTAAGGCAGAACGGCTGACCAGATTTGGATAAAATTTGTCAGAGATAGATTACAGTCTAGAATAGCACAAAGGTTGCTTATCTCAGAAAAATGAACGGTTCCCGTGGGATAATTTGATTTTCTCTAGGACGAACCCGAAGCAAAGGAGAGTCGCTAGAAGTTTAAATGGGCGCACGCACGATTATCCTGCCATCTAGTTTAAAAAATTGGTAGCAAATACAAATATGATTTAAAACATTTAATTGTGAAATGAGTAAAATAGGATAATAATATCTAGTTTATAATTTTAAGATATATTTTGATAGGTTTTTACAATAATAATTTGAAATTCGCTTTTTCATTATTTGTTGTTATAGCTGCAATAGAAATACACACTAATGTCGATACTAAATAGTCCCCATCAAAACATTGAATTTTAAGATATACTTAAATGAAACTAGAAATGGAGTTTTTTCATATTTTTATTAATCTTAAGTCTATGTTCACGAGGCTTCCATTGCGGTGGCGGTCTCCTCTGTGTACTTGCCCTTGCCAGCGCCAAATGCAGCTAGTCTGCCCTTACCACGCCTGTCCAAGATAGCTTTACGATCTTTGTTCATCTTTAGTTTTACAATAACACACTGAAAATAATAGGTCTTCATTAATTTTCATACTTTTTAGAGCTAGTATCTATAAAGAATGTGAGTATTTCAGAGCCATGGAAGTGTCTCAGCAGTAACTGTGTCTATAACAGAGGTCATGCCTTAGTTATGATAACACAGTCTAAGTTAGAAGTGATCATCATTTAAAATGGACTTAACGAAAGGGCAAGAAGTACATTTCAATATTTACCATATCGGTGTAATTTTTTAACCTGCTAAGTCCGTTTTTGAGCAATTTTACTTTATATGCCAGTCAAAAAGTTAAAATGATAACTTACATACATTATGTTAAAGTAATAGCAACGATATCATTATAAAAAGGTTGGAAAAATATTAAGGAACAAGTTTTTTCTTCATCTTGTAAACTAAACAGAAATACACTTACCAGATTAACTAATTAGGCTGATGATGTATTGTCTTGAATGTAAGTTATCTATAACTTAAGTTAAGTAAGTCTACCTTCTCTAGAAGGTGGTAAAGGTTTTAAATAATAATCTACATACCTTTGAGGGGTGGATACCAACATACGCACTGGCACCATTAGCCTTCTCCCTTTGGATCCTCTCAATGTAGACAACAAACTTCTTACGGTAAACCTGGACTACTTTGCCAACTTGCTGGCCTTTGTAATGTCCACGGACAACCTAAAACAATAAAAGGAAGTGCAATTTAGAAGCAATGTTAATTAATACTTTTTTTTTTTCTACATATTTACTAACTCGCCAGTTAATTAATCAGAGCCATAGTTTGAACCATGGTACAGAATCGCTTTCCCTTCCAGAGTGCACTAAAGAAAACCTCTAGCACTCTCTTTCAGAGGTAGCAAACATCTGTAGTCTGTGAATGGTTTGTCGTCATCATATTAATTAATACTGGCATCATTTTTATAATATATCCTGATATATCATAACCATATATAGTACTTTAAATGTGAATATCGATAACTAGCTTCCAGTGACAATATAATAAATATTATATGAAAATATATACGTATTATACTTTAGTTTGTTACACATGAAACAAAGCAGGTTCTAGGCTTTAGAAACTTTTTAACAAGTTAAATACCACATGCATATGAGCACATTGACAATTAAGTTTTCTAGAAATAAGTAAACAGAATTTATTCTATTTATGTTTATTCTATTTATGCTAATTTTTCCCTAGTTTATTAGGGTTTATATAAATTTACAAAAATAAACGTTAGGGCTTAACATAATATACTAAAATATCATGATTTATTAACATGAAAACATATAAAATAGCTAATAATAACCTAAAAATATTTATGAAAAGTCAATTATTTACCTGAACTTCGTCGTCTTTGCGGATTGGCATAGACTTAACATTGAATTTCTGTCTCAACTCCTTGGAAAGGGGAGATGACATCAAAACTCTTCTGATGTGAGAAGGGGCGCTAAAATGCCTCTTCCTGTTTTTCCTCCTGGAGGAAGTTACCAGCCTATTGTACTTCATACTGGTAGTCTTCACTGAAAACCCAAAATAACCACGTTTTATTTCACTGTTTGCAATACATTAGGTTATTACTATGTGCATGAAACGTCAAGTTGCCGCGGCGGTTTTTTAATTCACAAAAACATAATATCTGGGAAATATATATGAGTTTATTATAAACCATGTTTTCAGTTTAATTTGAAAACTTTTAACAATATGAATATGTGCCGCTAACGAAGATTTTTGCGGATTAATTCAACGTACCCGAAACGACACGGCAAAGAATCAAGTTAAAAAAGACATACAGATTATAAACACAGAGACATGTCTATTCAATAGTGTTGCCAAATGAAAAAATTAAATTTGTATAGATTAAATTAAATAGGTTTATGAAAATAAATCGAAAATCATTATTTATAATAAGCTTTTTAAATGTGTCTAAATTATTTATTTAGGCCACTTAATTAGTATGGGCTTGTTTTTATTGTGTTCATTCTCTTGCCAGTTGTTATAACATATTATTTTTCCATAACAAGATACCAAACTTAAGCGGAAATAATATGTAAACCTATTTAGTATTAGGAGTACAATATTTTAATTATTCAACCACTATTTATAAGAAGGCTATATACAAGACTTTATATTTTATAATCTTTTAGTTAAAGAGTTATATCATTTTTTTTAAGCTTTTACTTTTATAAATTTGGTTCTTAGCTTCCCCATACACATTATTAATCCTAGATTACTCCATCATTAATAATCGAGCTATTTCTGCAGCTCTGGTGCCACAGTGGAACTCGAATGACGTATCGGTAAATAACGTTTAACTTTACATTTTAAATGTAAAGCGATCATTTGTGAAATTAAATAAAATCACAGAGTTGTACGATCTTTCATTGGTATACCTTTTGTTTTCATTTCGAGCCCATGTTGGTTTTATATGATACGTTAAAAAAACCTTTATTCATGAAATGATAGTTACAATATTTTACGCTGAGCCTTTCCAGTAAGTAATCAGATACTTGTTTTGGGAAAGCTTCGCACCTTCTCAATTGGCTTTTCTTCACATTCAATATGCAATGTTCAAAATGAAAATTTTATTTTTACAACGACACTACTCTGTAGATTTCATAACAAACAAAACCATCGTCTGTCATTATAACAGTTTACTAATCCATACCACGGTAATCTTACATACAGTATTCCATCTTCATACAAAAGGTCGGAAATCGAGTTATACCTACGCGCGTCGCGTTCGGTATACACTCGGTAGACAACCGTGCGGGGCTGCCACATCGTATAATTTGATACGAAAATTTTATGAGATGGTTATGTTATGTAACTTTTATAATTGGATACAAAAATAAACATTTTATTCCTCCCGTAAATTCGCTATTATGTCAAACAAAAAAGTATCGAGACATCGTATGTTTTAAAAATAAAAACTAATTAATTAAAATAAAAATAAAAATTAAAGTATTTTAATTACACTTTTCATCTGAATGCGGATTTTTTATACTATTAAATTTAACAATAAAGCTTTTCGTATGTCTCAGTCGAGGTGCAAATATTTTTAAATCTCAAATTTATGAGGGTCACATACCACCCAAATAAATTTGAGATTTTTTAATTAAATCTACTAATAATATTTTTTAAATAAAATATATAATATTTGAAATCACAAAACTAGAAAGAAATTCAAGTAGGTAGATGAAATTAAAACTGTCGCGTGGGTACGTGCCGTTCGGCTGTAGGTAATTATTTCAAGGATAGGCCCGAGTTGGAATACTGTATGCATTACATTACCGTGTCCGTACGAAAGAATTTAATTGTTGAACAACTATTAAATTATTAACTGTTACATTTAGATTTATGTCAGTTGAGAAGAAACTGTTTTACAAGCTTTTAGAGTCATTGATATAAAAACTCAAGATAGACAATTATTATTATGCATTTTATTATTTATTTTTATATATAATATTATATATACGTTTTCCTTCTTTGGGACGTTTGGAAAAAAATATGAGAGTAAAGTTTTTACGATGCGCGCGACAAACGACAGCCAAAAAGCGACATAACGAAGTTAGCTGAAAACTGTTTGTTGCCATGGCAACCGTTGTTATTGTCTGACAAATGATATACAATATTGTATTCTTTCCTTATATGATACTAGCATTGCCCGCGGCTCCGCCCGCGTTCAGATGACCAAAAACTAAATTCTTAGGTGTTACATATTAGTATACTCTTACATTGCAGTTTTTGTATTTTTCCTCAGAAATAAGATATTTTCCCGCGGTAAAAAGTATCCTAGGATCGCGCGCTACATCGCCCGGTTTATATAGCTTGAGCAGGCGGTCGAGCGATGCGGGGCAGAGGGGATGGACTCGCCGTAGGCATCTCAATGCTCGCCAAGCATTAAAAATGTTTCGCTACTAATTACTTCTAACAACGATATCTCAAAAACTATTCATCTGATTGATTTAGTGTAAAGAGCAATTTTAATCTGCATTAAATGACTAAGCTAACTAAAATATTCATTTGGATAAGGATTAATACCGAACTAAAGAAAATAACTTTGAAAATAACGTAATGTTTTTAATTAAAAATGTTAACATAAAAGTGGTTATTGTAAGTCAACCGTAAGAGATAGAGATATGCTATCGCGGACTTTTTTGTAGCATTTTTATAGATTTTGAATTCTCTAGTACATTACTTAACTGTATCTTTGCTAGTTTACGCGGCGTTCGCGTGGAAAGTTCCCATTTGGCGAGATTTTTTGCGACCTCTTCAACATTTGTCGCCGTATTTCAGCTAATTTACATAAAAGCATAATAAATTATATACCTAAACCTTCCTCAAGAATTACTCTTTCTATTGTTGAAAACCGTATAAAAATCCGTTCAGTAGTTTTCGAGTTTATCGCGTACAGACAGACAGGAGGACAGAAAGACGCGGCCGGGGGACTTATTTTTATAATAAGTATAGATAGATTTTATAAATATATGATTGTAATATGCCTAATATGCCTTATTTATTTTTCATTTCGTACTAATTTAACTTATTTAAATATATATTATGTAGGTACCTATAGGTAAAAAATTAAATTTATAACGATAAATGAAAACAATTAAATTTTTTACTTATCCATATATATTTCATTAATAACTAATTACTTAATGTTTTATTTGGAAGAAATAAATGCACTTATAGTATTTTGTAATATTTAATGGTGAAAGCCATTACAATAATTTTCTTTGGGGTAGTATATTTTAATAAATATAACAAAAATAACTCTATTTTTTATAGCTTTTATTCAAAAGTAAATATTCAGCTAAGCTTAGGTTTATTTTCAAAAATGCTTATAATAAGTTTAATTGAAATAAAGTTTAATTTCATTTCATTACTCTGCCTCACTCCCGAAGGAGATTATTTTTCGAGCGACAAAAAAGTGACATAACGCAGTCTGTTTTCATACACGTAAGTTCGAATATGTGTAGGTAACAGTCAAAACTTACGATTTTTGTGTTTTATTCTTTGGTATGAATGAAATGTGCGTCTATGTTTTTATATATCAATAGCCAGAGTACAAATTCCCGTACAGTTCCAGGCTTTGATCAACATAGTATTGTTGATCGAAGGTACCAGGCCATATTTATAAATAAAAAAAAATATTCGTAAAAAAATGCAGAGGTCAGAGGCAGTACGAAGTTGAATGTGTATATATTGGACTAAGTCTAGTTATTAGACACATTAGTGCACTGCAATAACTTACATCTTAGTTCTAAGATACATATTGTGTAATTATATGAATTTGATATCTAATGAACTTATATGAAGATGTGATACAATTTCGAAAAGTAGAGTCCATGTTATCTCATGCCGTTCACTTTTCTTATTTTATATTAGGTACAGAAGAATATATTAGGTATAGAGGCAGTGGTAGCCTAGTGGTAACGCGCTCGCTTGGGAAACCAAGTGAAGCGGGTTCAAATCCCGGGTCTTGCACTTCTGATATTTTCATGTGCGAATCATTTCCAACATGATTACCACTTGTCTTAACGGTGAAGGAAAACAACGTGAGGAAACCTGCATGTCTGAGAGAACCAATTTTCAAAAGACATGTGAAGTCCGCCACCTCGCACTTGGCCAGCGTGGTGCACTACGGCCTGATCCCCCTCGTACTGAAGGGAGGCCCGTGCCCAGCAGTGAGACGTTAAAAAAAAGGGCTGAATACAATACGAATACATACAGAAGAATATACATTGTAATACATACACGGTATAGTCAATTATTTTAATTTTTAATGTTTTAAAATGAATTCGTAGATATTGAAAGAGTGGACTTATTGGTTTATTTACGCCGTCGATGTTACGAATAATAGGCAAAACTTCTTGTCCTATATTTAAAATAGTAGAGATCTTTTGACAAGTTATATTTTAGTGCAAAAGCTAGTGCATCCCGTTTTAAATTGCCTATATTCACTAAACCATTATAATAAAATATATTGTATATTTTTTTTATAAACAGAACTGCTTCCACAAAAGAGAATATAATGTAAAATTGGATAGTTAAAAAAAATATTAGGCTGTGTATATTAAAATTAAAATAAGCTGTTTTATGCGATCATTAAAAAAATTGGAAAGTACTTTTTGGCGGGTAATCTTACCAACGCAGTAAAAAGATTAAGCCATTGTGCCTTGTCATACCTATCTATAAAATATTGTCCCTTAAATTTTAAATAATAATTTAAACAGTAATAACAAACATAATTATTATATAACTATTAGTTATGGAAGTAGTAATTTACATAAAAATATTTTATATATATTTTTGATACATCTTGATAATACATCTGCTATAAGAAACTCTTTTGTTAAAATAAATACACATTAACGACATAATTTTACTACGAGTGGCATCATAATAGTTCACCGTACAATACAAAATGCATTGCGCCGTGAGATTTTTCCGGTGTACGGCGACAACAGCGTGTGGCCTCGCAGTGCTTGATGACAAGCTTCTATAGAGGCCGACAATAATGACATCGTGAATGGTAAGTATGAAATATTTACTAATATTAATCTCTAAATAAAGATACGACACGTAACATAATTAACCTGTTGTTTTTGTTTGAATATTTTAAATCATGCATTAAGTTTTATTTTGATTTTTATACCCCGTCGTATTCATTAAGATTGAACGTTAAATTTCTTTTGTCAATGTAAAATAGGTAGCATATATCTATATATATTAAAGTGATATAAGCTGCCTCGGTGGTGTAGTGGCTAGCATGTACGGCTGCACACCCGGAGGTCCTGGGTTTGAGTCCCGGGTCGGGCCAAGTTTAGTTCTTGAGTGTTTCTGTATATTAAGCCTCAGTAACAGCCCGGAGTTGGGAAGTTGGCGGTGTTTCACCACCGTGCCTCGGAGAGCACGTAAAGCCGTCGGTCCTGCGCCTTAACTCTCACCGGTGGTGTCGAGCAGTCGTCCCACCGGAGTATGAGAGTGACAGGAATAGAGAGTGCATGTTGTGTTTGCGCGTACACTTGTGCACTATAATATCTCCTGCGCAGTTGGCTAGTCTCAATTAGATTGACCGCCGTGGCTGGAATCGGTCAGGAGGACATTACATAATATAATAAAACAGTAACTTAGCGGAATCGATGTACGCGTTTCACGTAAAAAGTACTGAACCGATTTTAATAAAATTTTCTGTAATTATAACTTATTACTCAGGTCAACATTAAGGATACCTTTTACTACAGGGCGATCTTTCATTCCTACGGGAAAATACAACAACTGGTTCTATCGAGTCGTTATTAGAAATTTACATGTCCAACGCTGGCTAAATTGTAAGAGAACATCAAAACAATATATGTATGTACTAGAAAATTGTAGGTCTTAATAAGGCCTACAAACAAATTTGCAATAGCGTAAGTCTTGCTCCTCCAACTATTTACCTAAAACGTACCTAGGGGTGTAACCGAGCGAAGCGAGATTAAGTCGCTAGTAGATTATAAATAATAAACTATGCAAGTGGAGCCCCGTTCAAAAGCAAGTCAATAAAATTTAGCTTCCTCATTCTCCATATAACTTTTTTTAATATTTAAGCTTATAACAATTCTAAACATATTACAGACTAGCATTGCCCGCGGCTCCGCCCGCGTTCAGATGACCAAAAACCAAATTCTTAGGTTTTACATATTAGTATACTCTTACAAAGGAGTTTTTGTATTTTTTCTCAGGAGTGAGATATTTTCCCGCGATAAAAAGTATCCTATATGTTGAACCGGATAACCAGCTACCATCATACCAAATTTGATCAAAATCTGTCCAGTGGTTTTCTCGTGATGCGGTAACAGACAGACAGACAAAAATTCTAAAAACTATAGATTCGGACTCTGTATCGATAATAATGTCTATTTCAATTAGATTTTCCAAAAAATATTTAATGTACAGATTTGACTTAGTTACAATTTTATTATATGTATAGATAATTAAAAATCAACCCAAATAATACCTTGGTTGTAGAAAAACATTGTTGTTTTAGGGTTATTATTAATATCTAATAAAACAGACTATGTGCAGGCAAGGATAGAGCGAAGCGATGTCGGGTCTCTAATAACCTTAAAATCTTTATATTCTTTTAGGACGTTTTATATCCACTAAAGATTTTTTTTATGACAGTTATTTACAAAACCAGAAAGTACCCACTTAAATTATTTCTGTACCATATTTGACTTTTGGTTAAGATCAGCCATGCTGTTTTCGTATGCTTATACCGTAGATAGTTCATTTTTAAACACACATTTGTATTCAGCCCTTTTTAACGTCCCACTGCTTTGCACGGGCCTCCCTTCAATACGAGGGGGTCAGGCCATAGTCCACTACGCGGGGCAAGTGCGGTGTGGCGGACTTCACATGTCTTTCGAAAACTTGCTAGGTTCTCTCAGACATGCAGGTTTCCTCACGATGTTTTCCTTCAAGACTAGTTGTAATCATGTTGAAAATGATTCGCACAAGAAATTTCTGCAATAGTTTTCATCTAAGATCTATTATAGAATCAGAATTTCTCCATACCATTAAAAGGTTTTAATCAAAGTAGTTGATTTAATGCAAATATCGCGCAGCCCTGAATTTAATTTCAAATGGCACACAATAAAAACCGAAGCTTTCATATTTTTTTTAATCTTCTTAATAATGGCAGAGATGATGAAAGAAAAAAATAAACTTTAGAAAAGTTTTATTTTACCTTACGGATTTATAATTTGCATATTATAAGCCAAGTTTCTAAGAAATTTTATGTGAAATTGCTTACCCTTGGTCTTTAGGACAAATTACTGTATAATTATAAATAATTATAATTATTTACACTCACATTAATTATGTCTATTAGTCTGTATAAATATATTAAATGTGAAAGCTTGTGAAGATGTATGGATGTTTGTTACTCATTCACGCCAGAACGGCTGAACGAGTCTGGATGAAATTTGGCATAGAGATAGATTATAGTCTGGAATAAACCATAGGCTACTTTTTATCCCGGAAAAATATACGTTTCTCGAGGGATAAATTTGTAAAATAATAAATTTTAAAACAATAAATGATAATGTAGACAGTTAATATAAGTAGGTATCTAAATAATTCAATAATCTCTTTTTAATCGATTTGGACACTTAGTTTGTAAAAGGAATGCAATGAGCTTTTAAAATTGAGTGACTTTTTCGGGTAATTTATATATGTTTTAATATACCAAGAAATTAAGTAAAGCAACAATCAAGTCATAAAAATATATAAAAGAAATGAAAATTATATATGAAGGTTGCATTCATGGTTTAAAATCATTGATAAAAAGCTTCTGAACGTTGATCACACAGTGTGATCGTAGTACAGGTAGAGTCACAATGGTACGCATAAACTTAGGACAGTTTACTTTGTGGCGACCCTATGACCTCTAGAGCCCAACCCGGCAAAATGAGAAAGATCGTAGATGTCTCTGGCGTCACAGTATCCGAGTTTGCGCAAATCGCATACGCCCGGGCAGTGAATGGAGAGACTGTGGAGTGTTCACACGCCTTCTAACTTGGACCTTGTGTCGTGCAGTGATGGGACGTGAGAGGAGAGATGGCCAGCTCTCCTGAGCCCGGCTACCGACCATGTGCGAAACTATAGGTGAGTGATCCCAAGGTCAAATTAGTACAACCGGTCTTCACATGTCCTCATGTGATTTGTCGGTAGTGAAACGTGATTCGAAATTTTTAGTAGTTTTCAGTAATTTTAGGGATTTCTTTTTTTTTTTTAGATTTTTATGCGGTTGGAATTACAGTGTTTTTAATATCGACACGTGGTTTAATATATATAATATGTTTAATTCATTCTTATTATAACACTGTATCATTCTACTATTAAAAAAAATTAAATGAGCGTCAAAATATTGTACATTTTTTTGTACAATCTATAGAAAAAGAAAATGTAGGTATATGATTATATTATAATTATTATATTTTGAGTTTAAAAATCAATTCGCGTAAGTAATTTCTATTCAATCCGGTACAGACAATTGCCGCGCCTAATAATAAGTATTAACGATAAAATATTATGTATTATTATTTTAATATATAAAGTAATATATAATTATTTACTATATACTAGGTGCTAAAATTTATAATATATATTTTTTAATGAATTTCAAGCATGGGGTCTTTTAACCTCGCTCCTAGACGCTTTCATTATTAAGTGCTTTATTATACATCGATTAATATATTATGTATATGTATTAGGATTATTTTCTTTTAAGAAAAAAAAACTATGCAAGTGAGATTGAAAAGGTTCAAATTACCTCGTCTATAGTAGCGTTTTGTTAAAATTTGAAAGAAATAAAAAGCGTATAAAATGAATAATTTTTCAAACGCGTTTTGTATAATTTTTAGTATACGAGGTGTCAGAAATCATAAAAATAATATTTTTTCTATAAATATACGTCTGTCCTCAATATGACATAACTAATGATTATACACGTGGATACATTTATCCACCTGTTACCTAAAAAAGATAGTAGAAATGGACTATATAATTATATAAAATTCTGAATGCTTAAAATGACTTATTTGGATAAAATCATTTAGATTTATAGCTTCTAAAAATAACATAACATGAGAATATTAATATTTTATGATACAAAATATGGACGTTAAGGATCTCGAATGTTTGGATCTGAGTATAATTGAGAAATTATAATTATTGTATAATATATATTTTTTAATTTAATTTAATTTTACTTTCTTAGATTTACGCGAATACTTGACATTTTAAATAAAACTATCTATTCGGATTTTTTCGCGAATTTATTTTGATTCATTTTTGATTTGAGCATTCGAAACGTCGGGAACCAAAACTCAAAATAAATTCGCGAAAAAATCCGAAAAGATAGTTTTATTTAATTTAATTTTAGTAATATTTATTTTTAATTTAATTTTGGTAATGCATAGGTAAAAATCATATTCCTTATGAGTACTCTGTGCTTTTAAAAGCCGGTGTATATATGCGATGAATATTGTATACTTGGGCTTGAAATTTTATACATCAGTATGAACATTTTGATTCCTGGGATTGAAATTGACCTTGCACAGTCTTATCCTAGTGTACTATCCGGTTTTTATTAATTTATATTATTTTTAAAGATATTTAAATCAAATATTTATACAGATGTGTTGATTATACAGGTAACCGATTGTACTCAGCCTCCATTAACAACGCTCTAATTAAATTTGGCTCAATAAACGAGATTACAGCGCTCCCCGTCAAAATTACTTACGTTTCAGAATGTTTTCAAAATCACGCTTCGTATGGTTATTTAATAAAGCGTCAGCTGTGGTTTTGTGTGAGTCATATTTTATCTCAGGAACTAATGTACTTATATAAAATTATTTTCTTCCTCTTTAGAGGGGTCATTTGCTTGCGACCACATTGTAGATTACGTCTATAAAAAAGTTTGTCACTCTTAGAATTGAAAGCTGTTAATTTCATTTTTTTATCCTGTGCCCACTCAAATTCTTATTTTTTTCAATCATTTTCCAGTGATCTTTTTAAATTTGGTTTTAAGTATCCGGCTAATAACCAAATAAACTCTATGATGGAGTTGCTGTATTGAATAAGCATAATGTATAATCTATACATATAATAAAATTCTGAGTCGAATCTGTACGTTAAATATTTTTTGGAAAATCTTATTCAAATAGTCATTATTATCGATACAGAGGCCTAATCTATAGTTTTTAGAATTTTTGTCTGTCTGTCTGTGACCGCATCACGAGAAAATCTCTGATGATAAGCTGGTTATCCGGTTCAACATACAGGATACTTTTTGCTGCGGGAAAATATCTCATCTCTGAGAAACCTATACTAAACGTTAAAACGTAACTAGGGACGAATCGAGCGGAGCGAGGCTGAGTCGCTAGTATATAAATAAGTATATTGATACGGTCATAAGTAGATGGTGTTAAGTAGCCTTGGCGTTTTTCTCAATCAGATCATTTGCCAGTGTTTTTTTTAATTAAACTTTGGTAGCGGGCAAACAAACAAACTCTATGATGGAGTTGCTGTATTAAAATACAGACAGATACTTTAAATATTTTTGACATACGTTTCTAATGAAATGTCGTTTAATAGTGTAGGATTGGGTAGATTTTCTAATTAATTAACTTCTGATAAGTCTTAAGTAAAAGGCTGGACATATTTCTACCTAAGTCAACTTTAAACTAAATTTATTTGAGATAAAAAATTAAAATTATGGTAAAATTTTCATTTTCATTTGTTGTTACATTATGATGTATTGGAAATACGTTTAACAATCGATTGGCGGGATGCCGAATACTAGGAATAGTAGAATAGCCGACCAGCCAACGTCATTTTGGCACGATAACCTGTTATATAATTGTTAACTTTTTTATGTTTTATGATTAATTAATATCGACAAGGGGAATCAACGGCAGAGTAGCTTGGAAATGCACTCTAGCGTGAACTTTCATCCTCATAAACACATAAACACACACATACACACACACACACACACACACACACACACACACACATACACACACACACACGCGCACACACACATACACATATACCAATATTCACATACTTTTCACCTTAGATTCTGTTAGTAAATTGTTAAATATATAGTACTTAGCTTATTGTGTAATTTTTAACTACGAGTAGTACAAGTATCTATACAGTAATAATTTTCAGTACACTTATGTAATGGAAGAGCGGTTTCTCCTAACACAAGTGCTTGTGCGCTTAAAAGGAGGTCCCAGTCACTTATCAGTTATTGTAAAATTTTTGAGATACCGAATAAAGATTATTAATAATTAATAATATTCTTCGAATATCCTTACTGTCTGAAATGTGTTTGTTCGTCCTTCTTTTACGCAGTAACGGAGCGTATAGAGATATGTTTATGTTCTAGAAAAAGATAAAGGCAATTTTTTACCAAGCAATTCCGTATGATTTTACTATTTCAAAAGTATCATATGGA